AATGGAGCTACGGGCGACTCAACGCCTATCTCCGCCCATGGGAAGCTCCCCGCCAGGGCTCCCGGACCCCACTGAATGCGTGACCAAGCGGTCACCTCATGTCGTCAGTCAGTGGTTGAAACTCTTCCTGCCATCATGAACTTCATCTTCTATCCTCGGGATATCGTGGCTTGATTCTGAACTCGGATCCCTTCTCATATCCCTTCGGGCTAGAGTGAGCACTAGATCATTGCCCTTGCTCTTAGTCTTGTCGCCTACCGGGGCTTCCGCTGTGCACCGCTTCATTACCCCACAACTGCTCCGTGTACCGGCCGTGCGTTTGTCCAACGCCTCCTTTGAGCTTTCCGCCATGAGCGGCCAGGCATCCGGCAGCGGTGACCTTGTCTCCCATAATGAGTCCGGGTCCGAATCATCTTCCGCTACTGACGCCTCTGCAATTCAGCGTCCAGACCCTCAAGATGACGAGGATGACGAGGATGACGATGATTTAGATTACCAAGATGAACCCGACGAGGTTGACTTTGAAGAGGCTGAATTATCCGGTAACGAGGATGACGACGAAGGTACGTTACCCGTCTCGTACTGAGGGGAGGCCTTTCCTGACTTCCGTCCAGCTATCGGCCAGAGCAACACTGGCTTCCGGGTTATCGTAGGCGACCCAGACGACGACGAGGAAGACGATTCCGACGGCAATCCGGCGGACGGGTCAGTGTCTCTGATAAGTCTACTACGAGGTACAGTGGTCGCTTGAATATTCCTGTAACGTCTTCGTGAGGCTAAGACCCTGGACAGCCGCCCAGTCAGGCCAGCTCAACGGCCGACAGATGCTCGCCCTCCTGCAGATTCCCGAAGTGAATGCTGCTCTCGGGGCCGGCGGTGATGACATAGACGAAGCGACTCCACTGGGCCACCTCCGATTCAACCGGCGTGCTCGCAGACAGGCCAGCCGGCCCCCCAAGGTCCCCAGCGACGAGGGCACGAAGCTTATGTGGTCTGGTGCTTTCGGAGCCACCTCGGCCAACGATGGCAGGCGGGCAAAAAAGAACGCGGCCAGGCGGGTGCTGGAGAGGGAGCTAGGTGACGGCAGCTACGACGATAGAAAGCGGAACAACGACCTCTTGGTGCAGAATATGCTGCCAACGACGCAAGCGGAGCACATCATCCACTACGATGACCCGGTCTACTCGGGCCAGTTCTCCGACGACGGCAACTTCTTCTTCTCGGTGTGCCAGGACTTCAACGTGCGCATGTATGACACCTCGGACCCGTACAACTGGAAGCACTACAAGACGGTGCACTACCCGTGGGGCCAGTGGACGTTGACGGACGCCTCGCTCAGTCCGGATAACCGCTGGCTGGCGTACACGTCGATATCGAGCATGGTGTCCATCGCGCCCACAGACCCTTTGGACACGGGCGACCCGTACACACTGGACCTAGGCGAGAGGCAGCGGGAGCGTGAGGACCCTTGGGGTCACGTCGGCCGCGGCTTCTCGAGCATCTGGTCGATCCGCTTTTCCGGGGACGGCCGGGAGCTGGTGGCGGGCACCAACCGCCACTCGATTGTCGTGTACGACATTGAGTCGCGGCGTGTGCTGCACCACGTCGAGGGCCACGAGAACGACGTCAACGCCGTGTGCTTCGCCGACAAGTCGTCGCCGCACATCATCTACTCGGGCTCCGACGACGCCACCATCAAGGTCTGGGATCGGCGCAGTATGGGCGACGGGCGCGAGGCTGGCGCCTTTGTCGGCCACACCGAGGGCCTGACCTATATCGACAGCAAGGGCGACGGTCGCTACATCCTCAGCAACGGCAAAGATCAGAGCATGAAGCTCTGGGACCTCCGCATGGTCATGTCCACCGGCCGCTTCCGCGAGCTCGAACCCACGCAGCATACCCGCTACAGCACCTTTGACTACCGCACCGGCCGCTACGACCAGGCCTACTGGGACCACCCAAACGACAATTCTATCGTCACCTTCCGCGGCCACGAGGTCCTCAGCACCCTGATCCGCTGCCACTTCTCCCCGCCGTCCGCCACAAACTCGCGTTACGTCTACACGGGAAGCAGAGACGGCAAGGTCTACGTCTACAATATGGACGCCACCGTAGCCCAGGTCATCGATGTCAACCAGGCCACTGTGGGCTCCAGACCCAGGGACGGCCATGGCGGCAGGTTCCACCGATGGGACGGTAGAAGTCGCTGGTCAACCTGCGTCCGTGATGCCAGTTGGCACCCCAATGCCCCTTTTATCGTTGGTACGTATATTTTCCTTGTTCGGCTCCTTACTCACCATGTTCTCAAATGACTGACAATTGCTAGCCTCTGCATGGAACGGCTACGATATGTCGCGTGGTACTTGCACGCTGCACTCCTTCAATGAGGGGCAGGAAGACGAGGGGATGCCGGTCATGTCACGGAACCTCAACTCCAAGCTGCAAGCGGAAACGTGGGGGCAGGTGGATGACGAGGACAATGGCTGGTGAAATTAAGGACCATTCTTGAGGGCGGTTGCTTCTTCTTCTGCTTTGTGCTTCATATAGCGCACTGTGAGAGTTGCGCGCTAGTTTGCTTTTGGTCTCTTTTTTTTGTACATTACTCCTACACGCAAACACCGATCCCCATGCGATTTGGAGTCTCCCAGTTTCTTGTAGTTCCACGTGGACAATTCAGAATCGCTGGGTTGATTCGAGATGAAGATACACACTGTGAAAAAAAACAAACGCCCATGTATATATTTTTCTGCCACGAGAAAGCTATGGCTCGTCGCAAGGAAAGGATGATGATGATTAAAAACACTGGTCGCTCCTTCTATCGTCGTTCGAAAACAGTAGTCCGTTCGTCGTCCCTCTCCAATTCGGATGGCGTATGCGTCTTGGCGAGTTCGTTGTTTACGAGACGAGAATCCTGGCAATGGGAAGGTGAACTGTGATGGAACAGGTGTCAGTTGGCACGCGATTCTTGCCAAGAAGGTGAAGCGTAAGAGGATAAGGAGGGCCACTCACTCAGCTTAACCAGGTATCCTACCGATCCCATGACAACCAGACCGACGCCGACGGCCTGGCAGAGACGGAGGTACTCGGCCTTATCAGCTATAGGAGAAAGAGAAATGTCAGCAAGAACGCTTTGTATGTGCGTGTGCGTCGGCAGAGCGCAACATACGCTTAGTGCAACGGCGCATGAATTGTACACCACTACGGGCGAAATCGGCGGGGGCCTCAAGGAGCTCCTGGATCTGGTCACCGGCCATTGTGTATGTTGAGTGGGTTAAGTTGGTGGGTAATGAGAGGTTTGATGGTGGGAGATAAAAGAGTGTGTGGGAGAGAGAGGACGTAGATGGCGAAATGCTATCAACTCGACTTACCCTGACCTGAACCCAAAGAGACGTGTTCACAAAGATCCCCCCAGACTCCTTGATTTCGGAATTATGTCGGGTAATTAAACCACCGGCCCCCCCCCCCCCCCTTTGCCACTGAGAGTAACACCATGACTGTATAGATTAGTAAGCTGCGGGCTCTCCTAGGGACCGGACGGAATAACCCCAGTGCCGGCAGCTCCCAAGGGACAGGGCGCTCCTTTTGCGGCTGGCTGCTTCTTACCATATCAAGCCAAGACCAAAGCACTCAGGTCCACCTTATCCTCAAACCCCCCGTCAATCACCTTCTCATCAGCTCTCTACTGTTATCATCCATCCTTCGAAACCAGGTCACGGCCGAAATCGAAATTTCCCTGCTCGAGTAGCTCCAAGCGTCACCCGACTGCCTCCTCTTGCTTGTGATTGCTAGAAGGTAATTTGCATCGAGTTGATCATTATCTGGTTCATCAGACTGCGACACAGCCTTGCCCCTCGAGCTTGCCCATCTTTGACTAGCATCATCGACGCCTCACAGGAGGGCTACTACGGAGACGGTCATCAGGCTGGTTAGAAACACTGGTGACGACTGCTACCTGGTTACTCTATCGCTGGGGCATCTAACTATAGGGGCTTGTGAACTGCCTTGTACCAACTTTTTTTTTTCTCTTCCAAGCTTCAGCTGGAGCAGGCTTCCCTTGCGGGCTTCCCTTGGGCTTTTATTTCTTTTTTTCTTCTGTACCTATACTCCCAAAATTTGATCTGGGTGTGGTGACTCACTCTTGAGTTTCTGAGGTGATAACCGAGTCTTTCTGTCCGTGGCTCTTGTACGTATTGATTTGCACAGCGCGGCGCCTTTCCTTTTTGTATCTCGGGGTTCCTTTCCTTCTCTTTTTCTACGATCCCCTGTCTTCCTCTCTTTTTGTTTTTCTCGCTTCGGCAAAGAACCTCTGGGATGTTGGAGGCAAGACAGAAACGCTGATATGACTACAAAGGCCAGAGGACAGTCCTGTATCTCCCAAGAAAGCCAGAATACAGTATTATTCCATTGCATAATCACACACTCGCACCCTACAGTCGTTGGAGGGCATACCAGCCATCTTGCCTGTCACCAATCCGTCAAACAGCACAGCTTTCGAAATGGCCGAAGAGGATTACGAGATCGACTTCTACGGTGACACGACCGGCAACGATCAGGACGAGGTCAAGGATGAACAGCAAGAGTATCAGGACGGCGGGAATGGGGGACATGCCGACGAGCAGCAGAGTCACAGCAACCGCAATGACCAGAGACACGAGAACAACGCCATCAGTAATGGGCAGAACCACATCAAAACGGACGGCGACCGACGGGGCTCTGTAGATCCAGGAGCCACGACGGCACTTATGCTGTCTGAGCTCAACTGGTGGACCACCGACGACGATATCCGAGGGTGGCTGGCCGAAGCTGGCGCGGAGGACGGGATCAAGGACATTACGTTTAGCGAACACAAGGTCAATGGAAAAAGCAAAGGGTATGTCAGAATGGCAACTTTATGCTGCCCCAAAATGCGGAGCGGTCCAAGGGTTGGAGTCCTGTTTTTGCTAACACCACACTCAGGCAAACGTACCTTGAGTTCTACACACCTCAGGCTGCCACCGCAGCCAAGCATCTGGTTGAAAAACTCCCCGAGGATGGAGGCAGCTTTGGCGTGAAGAAGATCACCGCACAGTACTGGAACACACAAATGAACCCATTCCGGACACTCCCCAAGGATGCGCCAACGCGCGGGAAGGATCAGTCGCGCTCTACCCCGACGGGAACATACAATGACCGGGGCGGCTACGGAGGCGGCGGTTTCCGCGGTCGCGGCGGCTTTGGAGGCCCCCGCGGAAACATGAACAACCAGGGCTACAGCAACAACAACCGGAACTTTAACAACATGGGTTACAATAACAACATGGGAGGAGGATTCGGCGGCGGCGGTAACTTTGGCTTCAGCAACCGCGGCAACATGATGGGCGGTAACCTGAGGGGAGGCCCCGGTGCTATGCGTGGCCGCGGCGGTAACATGATGGGCATGGGTATCAACCCCATGGGCATGAACCCCATGGGCGGTATGGCTATGGGTATGCCCGGTGGTATGGGTATGGGCATGATGGGTGCCAACGGAATGCCAGGTAGGTCTCCGGCCTTTTCCTTCCCTCTTCATCTGGCTAACATGCAAGTTCGAGCAGGCTTCCAAGGAATGCCCAACAACTTCAACCCTGGGGCTTTTGGCTTCAACCAGAACCAGCAGGGAGGTGGCAACAGCGGCGATTGGGGCAACCCTCATGGAGCCAAGAGGCCACGGCCAGAATAGTGAATCTGTGACTGGGCCATCTTTTCTTTTGCCTACATTTCTCCTTTTCGCCTGCTCCTTCTCCCCTACTGGCAGTTTATTGACTGGGCCACGAGACACAATGGCGCACAGTCGGCCAGTTATCTGGTAATAGGGCGAATCAATACTAGCTACTTCCTTCTACTGTCTGTTTTTCCTACCTTGCTTTTTTCTGTTCTTACTGTCTCGCTATTATACTATGGTTGTTGTTTTTTATTGTCGGTCCCCCTGTTATGGACGGGCGCCATGGGTAGAGAGAGGCGATTTCTCTCTTGTTTTCCCCTGCTGTTTCTTCACTCCTGTATTTCCCCCTCGTTTGATCTTTCTTAATGCGGACGGAGGAAAGACGAACGGTGCGCTTTTTGTATGAAGTTGCTTTGCGCATACGCCGGATTTATGTTGTTTCCTGTATGGTTAGGATGCACAGCGTACCGGGCTTTAAAAAGAGATGTAAAACAATTTTGTATCATTTGTTTCTTCTTCATGTTGTACGTGTATATCAAGAAGGGGCGTTGTTTGTTACCAACTGGAAAGGGTACAGCGTTTTGACCCCATTTACACGGCATCATGTCCTTCTTTTGCATTGGTATTCTTCTCATTTCATACATGATTGCCAATCCTGCCTGATGCCCTTGATATGGCGGCGTCGACCAGGTCGGCAATCTGCTCCCACCGTTCTCGCAGGCGATTCCTCATGACATCGCCGACACTGACGTCGTTTACCTTCTCCCTCGTGTCCGCGATGTCGGCGGCGTACCGTCTCAGGATCCTGAGCAGCTCCCTGTCGACGAGGTGCTGATCGAGATCCTCGTCGCGGCGGCCGTCGACGAAATCGATCCACTCGTCTTCGGGGAGGCACAGGGCCCTCAGGGCGACGTGGGTGCGGTAGCACACGGTCTCGGAGTCGAGCATGTAGCCGGCCCAGAAGCCCCTGTCCTCGAGCATCCTCCTCTTGGAGGGGGACGCGACGCGCGGGCAGAGGTACTCGTCCAGGCAGACCTCGTCGAACGAGTTCAGGCCGTGGGGGAGCGTGAAGCCGTACTCGACCAGCAAGAAGTCGTTGGAGTGCGAGCCGTACTGGATGAAGACCTCGGTGTCGGCGGGGATGTCGGCGCCGGCGGTGATGGTGAAGCCGGCGGACGTGAAGGATACGGCGCACCCGTCGGGCGAGTGGTTGAACAGGTCCGCCACGGGTTGCAACGCCATGTGGTCCTCCCTGGGAAGCTTCTTCTTCGTCGTCGGTGTGGTGTGGTAGAATGTACGGGTGTTGACCAGCAGCCAAGCGTACAGGTACGCTTCGCGGGTGAGGTTGCTGATGGGCTCTACCTTTGAGGCTGACGCCGCCGACACGGCCGCCCAGTCGCGCTCGAACTTGGCAATCTGCTTGTCCAGAATCGTGCGGGCCTTTTTGGGAAGGAGAGCCTGCAGAGAGGCATCCCAGCATATGGGCATGCTGGTCGTCATGTCGCGCGGCGTCGGGGACACGTCCCTCCAGATGCGGAAGTCGTCGGACGGCGGGTTGGCCAGGTCCACAGCCAGAGAGGCGGCGAGGATGGCGTGCACCGTCGCCCCAGGGAGGGCATCGACGATGGGCTTGGGCGTGTTTTCCAGTGTGCGGAGGGCGGAGGACGGCACGCTCAGGATCGTCTCCTTAGGCTGCCTCACGGTATGAGTCGTGTGAGAGGCAGTGTGAGATGTGGTGGGATGGTTGATGGGAACTGGCCTACCTTTATCGCGCGCGTTGATACGAGACCTATTCCGCAGCCTGGGAGCTCTTTGGGTGTCATTCCGTTGAGAACTATGCCCTGTGTACTCGCCCAGTCGAGTAGTCGGCTTATAGAGTCCATGATGAAAAGCTGGCTGTTTTTTCTTCTTTCTTTCTCTTCTTTTCTTTTCTCTTTTTTTTTTTTTTTTTGTGCTTTTTTTTTCTTCTTTCTTTGCCTGTCCTGTTCTTCTTATTCGAGGCTTCGATGGCAACACTCTGTGAGATAGTTTGCCTCTTGAGGTCCGAAGTCTTATGGACAACGGTGTTGGAATAGGCAATGATGTTATTTTTGATATGGCGTGTGTTCTGGAGGGACGTTGGGTAAGAGACTGGATAGATTATTGTGAGACTTTGCTGATGAAGGCTATGACTCCACATCGGAGGATAAAACGGCGAGCTTGAATGGTTGGGTAAGATATATTATAGTGATAGTATTCACTCGTATAACGGTGTTAGTCTGCGGTCAACACACTCATTTTTTCCTTTCCTCCCCTCTCTACTCAGAGAGAGGACTGTATAAAACGTTGTTCATAAAGCAGTTATGTGTTCAGAAGCGAAAAATACATTGGTATTTTACGTTTTCATCGTATCTTTGCACCCGTCGATGGCTTTTTGTATATTATCATTACCTCGAGTCCCTTGTAAGATTTGAGTACAGGTTAGGTGAGATGAAAACAAGCGCCTCATGGGAGTAGGGGGGAAATTACGAGGTATGAATAGCATGATGAGAATGTAATCTGGTTTTTTAGTCATTTACGAGTGCGGATTACAGATATATAGTTCCGTAGTATCATTAGAAGACCATCATAGTGTTATGACCCCTGCAGGCCAACGTTTATGGGCCGTGGGACATCTTGGTAGGCATAATATCGCTGACCCAATGGTGACGGCTAGAGGTGACGTAGCGCCACCACATTAATGACGGAAAAGGTGTGGGTTGTGTGTGACTGGTAACATGCACGTAGGCCGGGGCATCATCCTTTCTTTTATGGAGCATCGCTGGAGATGCAGGTGATGCAATCCAACAATAACGATATAGAAGGATGGATCATAGTTTAATAAATGATGGCAACATAATACGGCCAGTATTAGTTACCCTGAAGTCGAAGCCGCGGGGCCTCAGAGTAGACGCGGGATGAACGGTTGCATGGCCCCCTCTCATCGCGTTCCCGTGCCTACATGACATCACTTTTATTCCGTCCTCTCCTCTCCATTTACCCCCTCACCGACATCATTCATGTCTACTCGTTATTGTCCTATATATATCGTAGCATCAACTACCCGTCGGCTGTCCTGGAGCTCCTCCCCTCCATGCTACCATGCCCACCACCGACAACATCCAGCCTGCCCCTCCACCATGGAAGCTCAAGGCCACCACCATCTACAGCTTGGCCTTTTGGACCACCAAGGAGCAGGTTGACCAGGCCACGGCCGCGGGCCTCACGTACTCGGCCCTGGAGGCCCAGTCGTCCTTTGCCGATTCCAGAGACGGCAAGCACCTTGGCGGCGTCAGTGTCATCCAGATCATACGGTACTCCGAGACGCCCGTGGGGCCGTACGACGAGCTCGTCCTGATACCCGGCTTCCACGAGTACACGGTCGAAGAGGCCGGGGGCAGGCGTGCCACCAAGAAGAATGCGCGCATCACCAGGATATACGTCTCGCAAGAGCACACGTGCTGGAACGGGAGGAAGAGTGCGTCATCCTCGCAATCCCTCGATCAGGTGAAATCAGGCTGACAGAGGGATGGATGTCCCAGACTGGAACGTACCCAAGCACCTCGCCTCATTCGATTTCAGGGACAACGTTGACGGGTCCACGACCATCAAGGTCTTCGCCAACGACACAGCTGGCGACGCGACAGAGGCGTCGGCAGATTCCAAGCCGCTGTTCCAGGGTACTTTCACGTCGTTTCCCTACATCCCGGCTATCCCGTCGTCCACCAGCATGCTCAAGTACGTCGGCCTCGACGCCACCCTCGTACAGCCCCCGCTGCCGGACGGAAAGGGTAGCAGGGGTGAGCTGCCGGGGACGGATAGGTGGTGTGCCGTGTTTCCGGCAATGTACTCGCCCCGGACTAGCCTGGGATGGATCGACGTCCGTCAGCCGGGCGAGGTCTCGTCATGCACGCAGGATAACTTTTGGCCGGGTCTGAAGCCTTGGCAGCTTGCTGTCAAGATGGATGATGCCGAGATTGATTTTGGAATCGGGATGCATTGGGACCCGCCCAGGTCCGTCTCGTAAGGCTGATAGCGATGACCCCTTTTGGTGTTTGTGTTCCTATCCTGTTTTGCCTCTTGGATGTAATATCTAGTTCCCATGATTGACGGCAAGCATGCAAACCATTGCATCATGCACATGAAACTCACGACTCTGCACCCTTGCACGGCCAATTGACAATGGCGTAACTAAGGCGTAGGCAGTGGGCCGGACTACGACAGGTGTATCTTGATACGACAAGTTAGCATGCATGGACGTCCATCTGGCATTCTCAGAAGGTTGTCGCATGCGATAAAGCAACCAGTCCCGTCGGTTGTACATCACCAACCGCGTTCGCAACCTCAATATGGGCCAATGGGCCATTGCCACGATAGTGCCTATGCAAACATCGACTACACACAGGATCCATTGCAAGCATATGTACACGCTACAGAATCACGGCCCCCCCCCCCCCCCCCCCCCCCCCCCCCCGCTTTTTCCCTGAGGCTGTCTTCGCAACAGGAAATTGCATATACACCGAGATTGCCACCACCATGTAAAAACGAGGCTGACGGAGCATAATCAATCAGCGTGGAGGGGGAGGGGGATCTCTTGTAGATAGAAAAAGAGAGTGAGTGAAGGGTTAGATGCATTCCTGGGCCTCCTCACTTTCAGACCGCGACAACAATGCCTTCTGCCTCTCAAGAACAAAGGGCGCAGACCCAGACGGATGGGCCCGTTGGCCCCAGCGCACTCCCATCCAGGTGCGCCGATAATTGCAGCCAGACCGACATGAGAGACGTGCCAGTGACTCCGGATTATATGGAGGCGAGAAACCCCCCGAGAGCCAGCAGAGGACTCACTGGACTGATGACACGGCAGGTCTCCACGGGCGCAATCGAGTCCGAATATACGACGATTACACTTGTAAAGGATGTCAAGAGCTGCTTAGAGAGGTTCCAGGATCGAGCACTCATGGAAATTGAGCATATACAAAAACGTCTGGACGACCAAAAGTCCACGATAGACTACGTGGCCAACGCGCTGCACAAGAACCGCGTCGAGCTGGACGGGGTCATCGGCATCTTGGCCAGAGACATGTACCACCACTACGGCAATCCGGAGAAGGAAGGGGAACAGACGACCAAAAGTCTCCAGGAGAGAATGGAAATCAGCCACGCCGAGCTGATGGATAGACTGAACTGCCTCAGCCCGAATTACACGGAAGAACTCCGAACTCTGGGCACGAAAGTGGACACCGTGGCCAACCAGGCCAGCTCCGTATCCTTGGATGTCAGCACCATGTCCGCCAGCTTCAGCGAGAGCCGGAGCCAGTTCAGCGACTGGCTCGCAGATATGAGAGCGGCCATTGTGGGGGTGAGAACCGCCGTCGACGAGAGCGAAGGGCACCGGAACCAGATGGGCATGGCACTAGGGAACTCCGTCCGCGACACGAAAGACCAGGTGACGCGGAACATGGACCGCAGGTTCAACACCGTCGACGCCAGCCTGCAGAGCGTGCAGGCCAGAATCACGACAGGCGCGGAATCCACAGCAAACTCTGTCGCCACGGCCGTACGGGGTTCAGAGAGGAACGTGGTCGCCGCCGTGGACAGATCAGAAGCAAACACAGCCACGGCCGTGTCGAACTCTGCGGAGACTCTGGCCCAGAAGATCAAGAGCTCGTGCGACGATATCGACGAGGCGGCGAACAATCACTTTGACATTGTCAACTCCGAGATCGTCAGGGTAGGCCTGGAGATGCGAGCAGGGTTCGTCGCTACTCCTCACAGTAAACATCAGGGCAGTCCTTTGTGGCTAACAGTCAGTCGCACTAGGAACTACAATCATGCTGCACGCCTGGCCAACATGTCCTCCAAGCCGTACAGCGACAAAATATCGTCTTTACAGGGCGTCGACGGAAAGCGTATCCCCGAATTCCCGACCAATTATACCGAGTTCAACTCTCTGCGACGTAGGTACACGGGATATGCTGTCACTGCACACACACACGCCCCTCTCGACGTCAGAGTATCAGACTATACTGTCTATATCCGTGTTCTGACCTGGATGCATAGGTAACTTACCGCTGCTCAACGGTATTCTAAAAAGGCTGGGCATGGGTTCCGAAAATAGTAGTACGTCGACCAGACTCAAGCGGTTAAGACGGTATTGCGGCATCAAGGAACATTAGTCTTGTATCAATAAGTATGGATGTTGGATATTGGTGTAAGTGGATGAAGTAGGACAACGGCACCCAGCGTTATCGTCGGGTCACAACTAGCAGTGGCAATACGTGTAACGAGATTACCAACAAAGGGGGGGGTTGGGTTGCATGTATTTAATCTGTAGTGTTCCTGTAGTCAAGTAGTCAAGTTGTGATACACATTCCTTTCCTTTCCCTAGTTCCGAGTTCTGTCTTACACGATGCATGCTGTAAATCATTGTGCATGGATGGATTGCTGCATGATCCATCCATGTCTAACAGCTTATTGTTTCTACGGGTGCTCTAACACTAATAATGGTCTTTTCATTATAATCTGTAATCTGTAATACTAACTGACTAACAAATCAAGCAACCACTTTTTTTCGACAGTTATCATGGGATATATGACATTATGCTTAACAGTAACATCCTCGACCAAGCCCACCATTCTAGAAACATTCTATGGCTATTGTAATATTCATAAATCTTCATGAGCGTCCCTGAACCTCCAGCGGCGTATTGGATGCCTTGGCGTCATGCTACTACGCTGTAGAATGACCATGTGACGCAGTAGTATGGAATCTGTAATGTAGAACCTGACTTCTTGCGCGAAAATTTTGATGAGCGTTTGAATACTTCACCTTGAGACTGAGTTTCGATGAGCGCCATTTCCAAATGAAAAGTGCGGAAAAAGTCAGATTGCCAACTTTTATCTATGATTCCACCACGAAACTCATTGCACGGACTAATATTCGTCACCGCGATGCGTCATCAATCATCCCAGTGCGCAACGCATAAAGTCAAAAAAAAAAAAAAAAAAAAAAAAAAACCTAAAAAAAAACTCAAACGTAGCTGACACTCCATGTCTGTATAAATTCTTTGCCCCCTTCCCCCACCTCCCCCAAACCTGACCTTCTCAACATCATCATTGTGAGTCCCCAACCCGGATACCTAAAGAAAAGAGAGAAAAACATTGATCAGCTAACGCTGAGTGGGAGCCTCTATCCATCTCAGACACCAGGTTCAACTAATCACTTCAAGGGCTAAGCCCAAGATCATAGATAAACGGGTATTATCATCACCGAGGGATAGGGGGGCCCACCGTTCATCAAGGCACTGTCATCTATGATGATATCCGTGTGGCCAGCTCGCTGCCGAGTCTTCTGAGATAAAAGTGACCTAGATGATCTGTGGGTTTATCAGCCAACGCTGAGTGGGAACCGCACCAAAGACTTCTCTCTGACACCAGGACTCAACTAATCACATCAAGGGCCAAGCCCAAGATCATAGAGAAAGGGTGGTATCTTCATCGAGGGAATGGGGAACCCACCTGTGGGAGGCCAAAACACATCCGTGATGAAATACTCCAAAGACCTGAACTGGGCCTTTCGTGGCATGGATTGGCAGTCGAGTCTCCTGAGATAAAATGCGGCCGGCCTTATGATGGGCTCCAAGTGGAGTGCCAGAATGACAGGAGAGATATCGGACAGGTTGATGCATAGAAGGGAGGAGGAACGAGACGCAGAGAGATTGAGGAAGATCGGGATGGACAATGATGGCATTATGAGTTGAGGATGGAGAATGGAAAACAGGTTGAAGATGAACCAGAGATGGGAGAGGATTTCTAGATCTGTTTTATACTTGGGGACTGGAGGAGCTTCCTTCTAGATACGCATCGGGCTCCTTCCCGCAGATGAGATTGGTAGTAAATATATACAGACTGGAAGGAGGCAACGACTCTACTACATGTAGCCACGGCATCGAGGTAGGGAAGGACCAGAATGCCCGAGGACAGTCTGGGAAAGACCGCATCTGATTACAGACATGGAAGGTGAAGCCATCTTTGACATTCTTACGGTCGTCCCATGGGCAGTCATAACTACTGTCTTTGCGCCTTCCGGATATCATCTAGAGCAACTCCTTCCTGAACGTAATGGGTGGCAGACAGGATATCATCTCGGTATGTGCAAGTCCCACACACCTTCCTCCCACAACGCATCCTTAACAGACAAGCAAGGGCGATGATGATATCTCACTCGGATTCATGGTTTCCTGCCATACAACGGGTGCCATGTGTCGGGAACACGCTCCTGCGAACTCATACTCGTCCAACATGTGACAACGCTCACAGCACGAACAGAAAGAAAATAGACAAACGTGGCGCGAGGGGGCCTCACAAGAGGCACTCGACAGAGGGATGAAAAATGAAGCAGAAAACTGATTATGAAATATGGAAGCGAACTACATCCTCATCCATGAAGTGGGTGGGGTACTCTCTCCTTTCTCTCCTTCCGGCTGTAGTCGTGAGGCTTTCCTTCCCATGAGTCCCCTACTCCCTACAAGCCCCCTTCTCACAGGGAAGGAAAGAGGTCTCGCAACACTCCTTCCCCGGTACTCATGGTTCAGACAGCAACTGCGATGATCTCGTTGTCTGTTTCTAATGAAGAAGCTGCAATCGTCATTGAGACTGCACCCGGGAGGGGACACCCTCGGAGACGGGTACAATATCAGCCAGACAGTCCATTGTCAGGATACCTCTTTCGGCTAAACTCATATCAAGCAACTACGTTTCTTCCCTTTGTCTCTCGCTTTCCATCTAAACACTACAGGTTGTACACCCTTCGTCGCAAGTATTAGTACAGCGGGGGCCCAAGGTGTAGAATCAAAAACTAAAGACCATTTGAAAGAGGCTCGTAGAGATCCTTGAGAAACATACATGAGCTCTAAGAGCGGTGTCTGCTTAGTGAGGGTAGGCACTGTGTCCAGAGCAGCTACTCAATTATCTTCCGCAACTGACGACATCTCTGTTCCTTGCTGCTTAGATTGTCATCTCAACAACACGTGCTGCCTATTCACGGATTACGCTCCCCGTCGGTCTCGACTGAGATTCAGATGAAACGATAATCGTCATCGTCTCCTCGCTTTCTAGTGAATTGCCCCCGTATTACATGCAACGCTAACAGAGGGGGTGAGGGGCGGGACGGGACGGGACGGGACGGAACGGCGTGCGTGGATAAGAAGTATGGTGTACAGTTGGTTCTTTTAGGTCAATGTGTGGATCTATAAGGTTGATGTAGTCAATAATCTGCCTAGACGAATCCGGTCAAGCCAATGTCTCGGCCGTTGAAGTATACTTCGACTCCTCATGTCGTTACATGAAGCCTTCACAGAGCTACACGCAGTAATGAGCCCCATTTCAGCTTCTGAAATTCGATGCTCTTTACCCCTTTAGTTGCGAATTCCTACGTAGACGATGCGCAATACAGGTATCCGGTGAAACAACTTACGTATGTCCTGCAGGTCGTACATATTGTACTCTGATTCCCGAGAGCAAAGATGGGTCTCAGTGTCATATTCTGGGAGACGGACATTCTGATGGAAGAGAAAAGGTACATGCACTGATGGCTCAAGGATGTGTTCGTATAGGATGAAGAAACAGAGGCGCATGGATGACGTTGACGACCGCCAGGGAAAGATGTATATAAACGTCCTCTTGCCCTCATCTTCCTGTCTATGCTGATATCCAACCTCTCGATTCTCATCGACAGAAAGTGCATATATCGCAAAACTTGTCCCCTCTGATAAACATTTGAATCTCGAAACCATGCCTACCGAACTCCCCGAGGAATACAGTGCCATCCACTCGTACTTCATCGGGCCGAAAGGGGCAAACCTCCCCGATTTCAGAGCAAACATAAATACCGTCTTGGACGAGTTGCTCGAGGCTCGGCAGAACTACTACCCCAGTGATCAGGTACGTCACCCATCCTCGCTCCAGGACGTATCTTTCATTGACTCAGGCCTGGTGGCCTAGCGGTTCATAACCAAAGAGGTCCGACGGTCCAAGAAGTTCCTGGAAGTGAGGGACAATCTCAGACTCGCCACCCAGAAAGTTGCGCAGTTGCTGGGCGAGCACTCTGCTCCCTTCTGGTCCCCTCGCTATGAAGCCCACATGTGTACCGACCTGACCATGTCGTCCCTCCTCGGTTACTTCATGACCATGCTGTACAACCCGAACAATGTTGCCCTCGAGGCGAGCCCGATGACCACGTTGGTGGAGTTGCGGGTCGGGAAGCAGCTGTGCAAGTTATTTGGGTACAAGGTCGATGAGAGAAAGGCTCCTTTCAAAGAGGAGGCGCCGCAGCCGCCAGTTGCCTGGGGCCACATCACTTGTGACGGAACAATTGCGAACCTGGAATCTATTTGGGTTGGTGAGTTAAACTGCTCGTCTAGCCGAAGTGGACCTAGGGAGCATGTGAAAGTACTGACATACCATCGTTTGAAAGCACGAAATCTGAAATTTTACCCTCTCAGTCTATTCCAGGCCGTTACCAAGGGCAAGCTAGCTTTCATTGCGAATGACTTCACCGTTAAGCCGTGCAGGAAGGACGAGCCGGAGAAGCTCTTCAAGGACATGACGCCTTGGGAGCTTCTGAACCTCCGTCCCGAGACTGTTCTTGACATGCCAACTACTCTGTACAACAGGTATGGTATCACCAGCGAGTTCCTGGAGAGCGTACTCAGAGACTACAACATCCAGACGGTCGGTCGGAACGAGCTGGAGGACGCTTTTTCTATCAAGGATTCCATGAAGTACTTTGTCGGAAAGACTCGTCACTATTCCTGGCCAAAGGGAGCTGGTTTGTCGTACCCCAGACCCACGAACGCCGTGCAAAGCAGCATGAGCTAACGCAGCCTGTTCCACAGCCATTGCCGGTCTCGGTTCTAAGAACATGGTTGGAGTTGACATTGATGTCAGCGCCCGCGTCGATATTCCAAGCCTCAAGAGGAATCTGCTTGAATGTTTTGAGAAAAAAACGGCCGTGTACGCGGTCGTGGCCGTGATCGGCTCGACCGAGGAAGGTGCCGTCGACAGACTGTCCGAGATCGTCAACCTGCGGGCCACACTACAGGACGAATACGGTCTATCTTTCCTCATCCATGCCGATGCAGCTTGGGGAGGATACTTTGCCACCATGCTGAGCCGCAACAGACCTCATAATAGCGACCCCGACGCTGGCTCGACCAACAAACCTGATCCGGAGTTCCATCTCGACCCGGATACTCGAGAGGACTTGCGGGCCCTGGAAAACGCAGATTCAATCACCGTGGACCCTCACAAGGCTGGGTATATCCCGTATCCGGCGGGGAGCCTCGTGTACCGGGATGGGAGGATGAGGTACCTGGTCACATGGTCGAGCCCCTATCTGTCTCAAGGATCCGCCGAGAACATTGGCGTCTACGGGGTTGAGGGCAGGTAAGCCGTGGCCCAATCAAGAAAAAACAAGCAGTCGGTTTCAAACGTCTTAACCTTCCTTTGATAGCAAACCTGGTGCGGCAGCCATGTCAGCGTGGTTCTCTAACCAGACGATCGGACTGCACAACCGTGGCTACGGAATGCTACTAGGTGAAGCAACCTTCACTAGTGCTAGGGTAACATGACCTTGTCCTCGCCTTCCGGGGCGAGATCACCTTCAATTCTCGTCCTCCGCTGACGTATGTACCAGCTCTCTGCATACTACGCTACGATGGTCACCGATGATTTTATCTGCGTGCCTCTCAACATGCTGAGGTCCGAGGAGCAAGGGAAGAACGGTTACCTTTCAGACACGGTGGAGAAGGAGAGGAGAAAGATTCGGGAGCTCATCATCGGAAAGGATGACAGTAAAATATTCAAGTCCCCTGAGGCGATGGAGATCATCAGCAGGCTCGGTTCCGACACCAACATCAACGCATTTGCGCTCAACTGGAAGCACGAGGATAAGACCCTGAACACAGATCTGGAGGAGGCAAACTATTTCATGAAGAACATTGTTGACAGGCTGTCCATTACCAGCGGCGACACTGACCCAACTAAAATCCCAATCTTCCTGACATCGACTCAGTTCTCGCACGACGACTACGGGAAATGCGTGGATGCCTTCATAGAGAGGATCGGCGTCACCAAGACCAATCAGAGCCTTTTTGTTCTGCGAAACGTCGTCATGAGTCCGTTCCCGACCCACAAGAACTTTCTCAGCGAGTTGATGGTCGACTTGCAGAAGGTGATCCGAGAGGAGGTCGAAGTGTGTCGCAAGAGAAACGCCCGAGGCAAGAAGCAAGAGATCCAGTTCCTGGTCCAGGGGTCCTCGGCAGAGCCCACTGTGTTCCTTGCCTTTCAGACATCGTTCCACAGCGCGACCAGACGCCAGCAGATTGTCTTCTCCGCAACGTTGGACCGGACCTTGCAGTCGGCGTACGAATCGCTGAGGGAGGCAGATGGAGACAAGCTCGCTATCTTGAGATCCACAGAAAAACACAGCATCGAAGAAGTGGTCAACTCCGTTGGAAACAACAGTGCCTCGTTCCAGGCAATCATCAAAGAAGGAACGCATGGAGAAATTGATAGGTATGCAACAGTGATACCCTCCGTGTGAAGAAAGAAGCTCACCGTTTTCTGCATAGAGCCACCACCAACCCCGGGACTGTGACGCTTAAATCTGTTGTCAAGAGCCGACCTCTCAATTCTGTCAACCAGGACGACAAATATCCCTCTGATATGATGCCATTCTATCTGTATGGTACACCGGAGAATATGCACGTTTCCCACGTTCTCGTCTACGCTCCAAACATCGATTTGTCGGCCAGCAACCTAGTGTTCTCTCCAGGACTCCCCGCTCGGGCCACAGCGCTGCTCTCGGAGGGTCTTATCCTGGGCATCACGAACATCTCCGAGGAAGCGGTGCAACCGTTCCCGTCGAAAAATACGAGCCTGCCCGAGGAATTCTTCTTCCGCAAGGGCAGGACGTTCAACGTCAAAGTGTGGAAGGACCCCAAGGATCCTAAGGCGAAGGGCCCGGGATTACTCAAGCACCTAGGTAACCCCTTGTACACCGGTAAGATGACACTAGGAAGGCACGTCGTAGTGGACGCGGAGGGTCCCAACGAGGACCCGTTCAAGCACAAGAAAGAAACGGAGAGCACATGGCAGAACCAGCTGGATACAATTGGGGGCATGCTGGATGGCACATCCGGAATCAGGCGCTAGCGAAGTGACGACCGAAACAATGACGATTTCGGCCGGATGTACCACTGGGCAGATAGATACCCATGGCTGCACCTGAAAGCTTGTGCTGGAACCATAGTTACCTGGCGACTACTACTCTATCAGAAGAGATTCCCAGTCAGTCAGGGGGTGGACTGTGGTAGTGTTCTCAATCGTGTCTTCTCGTTCCTGTACGTAAGTAGATCCAATTCTCAGAAACACGATGACACCCGTTTCCACCGAACCATTCTGGCTGTTCCAGCATCCCATAACAACCGTTTCCCATCGTCGTCATACTGGACTGATTAATCTCGTTCCCATACGATGACGGTCCCCGAGTCTGGCCGGGCTTCGAGACATATGCTAGGTTTGTAGATCGTCATTCCTGGGGGGTGTTGATGAGTGCCGGTGCATGTAAAGCGCTCTCGCCCAATTCCTTTCTCAATCAGCAATCTGACAGTGTCCTTTATCGGGAACCTTGCACGAACAAAGGAGGTCTTACTCAAAAGGGAAGCAAAAAAATCAAGATACTGAAACAGCATATAACAGCAGACAGACTGTTCCCTCCATCGTCGCCGCACCCCACGACCCCAAGTACTACTGGAAAGCAGCCGTTTCGATCCTCTGTCGATCTTCGGGACCCAAAACCGAGTGCAGCAGCTCCAGGTAATCATCTTGGCCGAGGTCCTTCTAAACCTTAGCTACGATGCTCGCAACCGCGTACAGACGTTCTGGAGACCCCGCCTTGTACGTGGCAATATCAATCTTCTGTTGTTTCTTGACAAGATATTGCAGCAGGAATATCACATCTGATGTATCTCTCTCGGCCTTGCGCTTGGACTCGGGACGAGTTGAGTCGATAATGTGGCTGAGTCGCTTGATCTTGACGAGTGCCAGGACTTTAGGGAGTAAAATCGGGACCGTCCCTAGTTCGAGAAACGTAATTAGTATAGAAGCAAAGTGCTAATGGAAAGAAGAAGAATAGGGGATCCAACGCACCATCCCCAGGGGACACCGTGATGAAACTGGTCGGGAGATTGAGCTCTCCGACAGGGAGCATCTCTACTTGAACATGAAGGTGAGGATGCTCTGGCTGAGTAAAGAATAATGTGCCAAGAGCTTCAACCGAGAAGCGGGAGTCCGAGTCCAGGATGAGCTGGACCAAGCCATTGCGAGGCTGTTCGCCTGGGAGGATGTCAACCTCGACATCAATGTGTCGAGGCTGACAGATAAACATCGAAAAGAAAGACGCAATGAAGTGATGATGGAGTGAGAAAGAATGAGAGTGACGGCACGTGGCCGAGGGCCCCCAGTGGCCAAGCTGCTATTATAGAAGCATCATTATTATGTGGAACTGGATTTTGGTGATGCAAGGGCATGAAGCGTAACGGTAGAAACTTCTAGGTTTGCATCTTTGGCATTTGTTATATCTGTAGGCGCTTTCTTTACAAAGGGTCACTAGTGAGGAACGTCCCGACTGGCCTTTGCCGTCACGATATTGATCAAATGCTCCTCGGTCCACTCCTCACCAGGTCGACTCTTCCACGTTTCAATCTCTCTAGCAGCATTCTCCATTTCGGCAAGCTCGGACTCTGTAAATGGCACGCTGTCGGGGACCATGACCTCGTAGTCGCCCTCGTAGCTTGTGTCAAAAGGGCCTCTACAATGAGGGAGGTCAAATCACCCAATATCTCACGCCGTAGCATACTTGCTCGGTTCTCGCGGCTAGCCAGCCGCGCGTAGGCCGCGCAGACAACGGGAAGAGGGACGATGGAGATCTCCATGGGTGGCTCCGAGTGCAGTGGGTTGGCCATGGTGGCCGGCTCGAGCTCGTCGAGGGTGATTTCGGTCTAGGAAAGAGGGAGTAAGACAAGTCGACGCCAGTTGTTGTGGACAGCATTCGGGATCGTCGTGTCGTCCATAACGTAGCGAATGGCACGGCCGGAACGCTCGCTGGTGAAGTTGGCGGCGCAGGAGTCATCGTCCGCCGGATGTAGCCCTTCGTCGGCGGCGATGCTGACAGTGGCGGGGAGCTGGTCGTCAGGAATGAGGAAGAAGTACGACTGTCCACCCTGGATTAGCTGGGAGATGAGAGCTGGGGGAAGGGCAGTGTGCTGCGAGCGGCACTGACTCCGGTTGCTAGGGGATATCCTAGTCTTCTGAGAAGCCTTTGGTCCCATTCGATGAGGGTGATGCCCTCGTTGATGAAGCGGCCGAGTAGTCTTGAAAGATGTTGTGACCAGTCCTTCATCGTGCTACGTCTGAGGGGAGAGAACACGTCAAGGCTACCTAGGAAAAGAAATTGACTAGATGGTCCTGTTGTAGACAGAGTCAGTCATTGTGCTGATTGCTACGATGTGTGGTGATGATGTGATCTTTATGCGTGCGAATAGGGATACTCAAAATATCTGGTATTCGTTAGTTATCAATACATGTAGCGACATAAATGGCCTTTCATAATGCCTCCGGCGGCCCTAGCGAGGGCACCTCTCGCTCCGCTCAGACACTCCTCTCTCGTCAACATGCCCCATTATCACCGTCACAGCGGCCATAGAAAGGGGCAAAAAAAGGGAAGGAAGAGCAAAAAAAAGAACATACAACAGCGGGTATTCGCTGGTCGTCACCGACCCAACTACTAATCCACCGCTCAGCGGCTTGACTCTAGGGGAGCGGACGGGACCCCGTATTCTCCACTGGCTATGGTCGTATGTGGTAAGCTGAGACGTGAATGAAGACTATATAGTGTACATTATGTGGATGGGATATACATTCAGAGAAGCAAAAAGAAACATACAACAGCGGGTATTCGCTGGTCGTCACCGACCCAACTACTAATCCACCGCTCAGCGGCTTGACTCTRGGGGAGCGGACGGGACCCCGTATTTTCCACTGGCTATGGTCGTATGTGAAAGAAGGTGGTCATGACAAAGATTATATCGTGGGTGGGCTTGAGATAAAGTTGCCGAGCTCCTTCCCAAGGTGCCCCTTGCTCACTTAGAGGCACCCAGGGTGACTGACCAGGGAAAGGGCGCAATGTCGCTCCTGCCGTTCTACTATCTTCTTTTTCCTCCTCCTCTTTTCCTCTACAGCGACTTCTATAACCACTACGTACTTTTACAAGGACCTGCAAGAACTGAACAGGGCTTTGCAAGAGTTAGTACTTATCTATGCAAAGGTCACTGCAAAGGAAAGGCCATCACAGACGTCATCGGAGAGGTCATCGCTGAGCCCGTTGTAGTGACCTTATCAGTGCTGTTGTGACTACTATTCCAGGGCTATTCTAATAGACGACGACCTCCAGACGATCCAGGAAAGCATCGAGCTTGCCCTACGCGTCTTCGACTCGACGGGCGAGCCCTACTCATCCTTCACTGCTATCGAGTCTAACCCGGATATCGGCATGAAGCGAGTCATCAAGGATGAAGCCTTTGGCCACCACACTTCTTCTACCCGTCGTATGAGCCGTGCTGGAGACGAGGACTACTGCGTCGATTCCGAGTTTCGGGTCAATCGTGCCGATAACTTTCGTGTCGTCGATGCCTCCTCTTTCTTACACATCCCTGAATTACATCTATGTTACTTTCAGACATTGGACGATGTGATAACGAAGTGAAGCAGCTTGGCTGTTCGATGACACAGCTGCATTCATTGAGAAAAGGGAGCAGGGGGGCTACTGATCATGAAGATGTAGATGGAGGGATTGAAGGAGGCAGCTGGGGGTGTACACGGCTAAATTTCATATCTGAATATCTGATCCTCCCTACGGTCTTCGGACTGCCATGTGGCCCTACTAAACTCAATCAATATGCCTCAATTTGCAAACCTAGAAGATCCCAGCTTACACTTCAAACTCAGAGGTAGGTTTGAAGGTTCTCGAAATGGGCCATCTTCCTAGAGTTCACATTGCAACTTAACTTTATTTACGTTATGACTACCATTCACTTTGCCATCATCCAAATGCAAACCCACTCCCACCTTACTCAACTCCTACACTCACCTTTCTTTCTTCTAATTACCCAACCAAGACTATTATCACTGAGTAGTGAGGCCTTCATTTTGCTCGACCTTTTGGGGAATCTGCTCGAGCACCGGCAATCAGCTGCACGTCAAACAGCTGCCAAACAGCTGCCATTTTTCCTATCATCACCGCCTTAACATTACTAGTAAGTGCAAGAACAATCCACATCTTCTTCTTTCTTTTCCTCTTTTCTTCTCCCCTTCTCACCAACCTTCTTTCTAACAATACAATCCCTTTTTTTCTCACCATACAGGCACAGCTATTAAGCCCGAGTACTTGGTTCAGCTCTAATGCACTTCGAATCCAGAACTTGAGCCAGACGCTGCGAAATTGCCGGAGAACAGAATGTTGCCTACACCTCCAGCTACACACCCAGGTAGCAACCAGTCTGGCCGCAGGCGACGGGCCGAAAATTCGTCTTCGTCATCTGGAGAGAGCACCAGGGGCGTTTTTGGCATCTCCTGTATCAAATACCGGGTTGGAACGCCGCCCCTGCCCCCTGCTCCATTCGAATACGAGCCCGGTGTCGATGTCTTGGGGTCCTCCAAAGGAAGCTTGAGCAGCATCTTGGGTCAGAAAGCGGTGGAAATCTTGGGAAAAAACGACATCTGTCAAGCAGTTCAAGATGACTATGACCCTTGTATGGACAGCGGCTTTTCTGTACTCGACAACATCCCAGAACTCGTCCGACGAACAACTCCCCACGACCGCTCGAACTGCGACAATGTTCTGGCCATCACTGCTTGGTGGGATTCTCGGTCGCTGATCGCCTGGGAAAAGGCAGTCCGAGAAATCAAGGAGGTCATCGATCGAATTCTAGACCATCATGGTCTCAAAGATGTCGAGATTGGGGTAGAAATACAGGCCCCCGAGGTTCGATGGAAGAAGACGCTGTCCGCAGTCACTGGCCAGCCTGAGCTTTCTCGGGACTGGCCGGATATCAAAGCCAAGGTGGCTAGGATTCTTGAGGGCTTCGAGGCGACCAAAGGGCATATCGTGAGCATTGCACTATTTCGGTTAGGTATCGGGGCCGAAGAATCTGAGAACCCTGTCACAGTATACGTCTCCTTGGAGTACGAGAGTGCCGAGAAGTACTGGAGCCCTGTAGAGGAAGCCATACAGGGATATCTTGACACCTTGCCATATGGCTTGGTGGTCCACATAGAGAACAACACGATGGTGGTGGCTGGATTCGATCTACAAGAGCCCACGTCGGGCCAGAAGGAGATTGCCAGAGACTACAACCTCGCGATCCCTGGAGAATATACGCAGCGCCCGGGACCTGGTCAAGACATCTGTGCTTCGCGGTACATGTTTCGAGCCGATGGGAAGAAACTGTGCTCTACTGTGGGGACATTGGGCTGCTATTTGCAGGTCAAGACAAGAAGACATCCCGAATGGACCAAGTACGCACTGACGAACTACCACGTCGTGAGGAATTGCATCGAGGGCAACGTCTATGGTGTCCGCAGCAACGGGGAGACCGACGAACAAAGGCCACTTCCAGGGTCGGCACTGGCCAGGTCTTATATCAATGGTTTCATCCCCGACGAGACGCCAAACATGTCGTCAGTTGAGAACCCAAGCCGACTCAAGCACAACTACACGGTTTGGTCCGCCGGTCAAAGTATTGCTTATCTGGAAAACAAGGCGCAAAAATCAAGAACCGAGTTTGAGGACCTAGCCCTCTTCCGCGCTCGGCAGAATGAGAGGATTCAGTTCTTCGACGAGGGCAAGAATGAGCTTGGCTCACTTTGGTGCGGCTCGGGGCTCAAGAACCGAAGTCCTGGAAACCGCCGCCTGGACTGGGCGTTGCTTAAAGTCACGGAGAGCCGCCAGGGCTCAAACAGCCTACCAAGCCGGGAGTATTGGGTTAGCGAGTACAGCTTGAAGGAGTATATTCCTCCGATGACTACAGCCCTCGTAAATCCCACTGAAGACGAGACACTGCAAAAGGCCTGTGAACGGCATGACCTGGTCTTCAAAATCGGAGCCTCGACGCAATTGACCGCAGGCAGATTCTCCAACCATGAAGCGGACATCAGTCTCCCCTGGGACCGCCACATCCCTGAAGCGACACGGTCAACAGAGTCCTGCTTCTTGGTCGACGACAGCACTTTTCGGACTCGCCGCCCAATAACACTGCGCGGTGACTCGGGCGCTGTTGTTTACAACGAGAGCGGTGCAGTTGTGGGTCTCTTGTTTAGCGGACAGACGCCCCAGCAGAGCACTTCCGGCTACATGCTTGTGACGCCAATCCAAGACGTCTTCGAAGACATCAAGAGGTTGTCCAAGGGACAGGTCACGGACATTCGGGTGGCTGTTGATTAGTGTGGTGGTGGCGGAGGAAACAGTCTGTCAAGACATATGTCTTCGAGGACATCAGGAGGCTGTCCAAGGGACATGTCACAGACATTCGGGTAGCTACATGTATTGATCAGTGTGCTGATAAGGGAGGAAGAAGGGCATGTCCCGAATGAAGGACACACTAAGGGATGATGTACCAGTACCGCACTCCTCCCTCCATACAAGAATAGCTATAGGTTAGGGATTTCCTATATACCTATACCCTTATAGGTATCTCCTAAAGGAGACACGGGACACACATATAGAGTACACACAACAGAAATTGATGCCTCCATACCGACTATCGTGACAGGGCATGTTTTTCGATGCCATTATGCGATCAGGGACAGCCCTGATATATAGTCAGAGTGATCACGGCACACATGCATGGAAAGTGGCACTGCGAGGTCGATCTGGCACACAGATAGATGCTTCCTTTCAGCAAACAAGAGGCCAAACCTGACCGGCTAAGGAGGCTGCAAAAGAGAGTTGAGGTATCGTGAGTCAGGTGACTCGTCAGACAGAGACTAATTCGTGCCCATCACCACCATATTCGGTACTCTGGCTCGCACATTACCAGTCAGGCCAGGCAAGGAACGTGTGAGATCCCGATATCCGTCTGCCTCTATTCTTGTTCGTTTCCTACCACGTTTCCACAGCTCTACCGTCAATCTTATATCAGCGTTGAGGCAAAAAGCTGGAGCCTGTAGCAGCTTTGTAGAAAGAGGAAACAAAGAAATGGCAAAAGAGACAGAAATACGAAATTTTAAGAAAAAAAATCAACATACAACAGCGGGTATTCGCTGGTCGTCACCGACCCAACTACTAATCCACCGCTTAGCGGCTTGACTCTAGGGGAGCGGACGGGACCCCGTATTTTCCACTAGCTGTGGTCGTATGTGGGGGGTAAAGATGTAAATGAAGACTATATAGTGTATCTTATTTAGAGATGGGATATACATTCAAAAAGGTCAAAAAAAAACATACAACAGCGGGTATTCGCTGGTCGTCACCGACCCAACTACTAATCCACCGCTYAGCGGCTTGACTCTGGGGGAGCGGACGGGACCCCGTATTCTCCACTGGCTATGGTCGTATGTGGCGGAAGAGAGGCAGAATGGGGCCTATATCGTTTACCTTGGGTAGAGCAAGTAAGTAAGACAAAGATATCTGTTGGTCGTCACCTCGACTACAGTATGTCATCAATTCGCCGCCCCGGTGGGCAGAATGGACGAGGTACGATAATTCTATGTGTGAGTACACGCCTACGTGAGAGCGACGCCAAAGAGGCAGAGAGCAAGAAGGGGTAGATGGTATAATACTGACTGGTTCTAGATAGTGGGCAGGGAGAAACTCGACACCGACGACTTAGTCTCTATCATCATGGCCAACGGAGAGAGCGTGAAGTCGTGAAGCGGTAAAAGAGGAACGACGGGTTCGAGATCTAAGGGAGTGTGTCACACTGTGGCTGGAGACGGTGGCTTGTCTGGTTGTAGCCAGATGCTCGGCATGATGATTCTAAGATACACATTCTATGGCTTATTGGTGCCTAATGACTTCTATGATCCTTCTATAACAACAATATAGAAAGCTCAACTAATCCATGATCCTTGGCTTCTCCTTCCTAACGTCGTTGCTGGTTCTCTGGCAATCATATACTACAATAATCATTATGAGCAGTTATCCATGATAATAATTCAAGTAGTGGGAAGTTTTAATATAAATAGCGTAACTTGTTCTTATTCCTCCTTTAGTATGAAGTCAACTAGAGACCGGAAGAAAGTTTGCCCAATGTCGGTCGCCCTGCGTCACCGCCCTGTTTGGTCTAACATTTGGGAGGCATCAGCCCATGACGGCACGATGCATCGCGTGGTTCCGCAGCTTGCATGCTTAACTTAACATTGAAGCAAGACATCTTACGCAGAACCTCCCTCTCAATCTTTCTCCATCACAGCAAAGTGCATATGCGCAGCATAATGGAAGCTGCTACAGCATTGCGACTCCGGTTGTCGCCGATAGTCGGTGTCGTGGCCAAAGATGCAGCCGCGCTGAGGACGTGCACCGCCCCATGCGCATACGTCTCGTCCAAGCGCACATTCTCGATTCTTAACCGGCCTGCGCCCAACTACGCGGGCCATGTGCCCCTCACGAGGGTCGAGCGAGCTGGCCTGGCTATCGGCTCGAGCATCGTGTCCCTGCTGGACCCATACCGCCACGGTAACGTTTATTGCTCTGCCGCAGGCAAAAAAAAAAAAGAAAACGAAAAAGGAAAACACCGGCGGTGTACCGGTAGCTAACGGGTACTCGCAGACATGATTGCTGCCCTCGGCGAAGCCACAGCCACTCCCTACTTCATCTACCGCCTGCGCGACGCGATGTTGGCCGACCCCACGGGTCGACAGATCCTGCGCGACCGTCCGCGCATCACGTCCAAGACGCTCTCGGTCGACATGCTCCGCCGGCTTCCCGCCAACTCGGTGGGCAAGGCCTACGTCGACTGGCTGGACCGTGAGGGAGTGTCGCCCGACACGCGGTCCGAGGTGCGGTACATCGACGACGAGGAGTGCGCCTACGTCATGCAGCGGTACCGCGAGTGCCACGACTTCTACCACGCCGTCACCGGCCTGCCCATCGTGCGCGAGGGCGAGGTCGCCCTCAAGGCCTTCGAGTGGGCAAACACCAGCCTCCCCATGACCGGGCTCAGCATGTTCGCTGCCGGCACCATGAAGCCCAAGGAGAGGTCCCGCTTCTGGTCCATCTACCTCCCCTGGGCCCTCCGCAACGGCGCCAGGAGCAAGGAAGTCATCAACGTCTACTGGGAGAAGCAGCTCGAGCGCGACGTAGACGACCTGAGAGCCGAGCTGGGCATCGAGCGTCCGCCCGATCTGCGTGCCATACGCAAGAGGGAACGCGACGAGAAGAAGAGGCAGGAGGCCGTGCGGCATCAGCAACCACGCCAGTCATAGAAAATGTTTTCTGGTGTAATAGTCCCATGTAGCATTTGTTTTGTACATTAACAATAGAACAAAGATGAATTCTCAGCGCTCGAGTTGTTTCTATGTTTTTAGTTCACGTCACTTGTTTTTTTTGTATCTCTTTTTTTTCTTTTCTGCCCTTCTTCCTCTCTGTCCTCTTCTCGTCCGCGCATATTCATCTTTACAGGTCGAAATCGTCGTCCTCGTCGTCCCACGCCTTGCGACGATTCACCACGATCTTCTCCTCCTCCTTGTTGTCCGCCACGGCGTTGAGCAGGTCCTTGAGCTGCTCTTCCGTCACCTTTGACCTCAGCTGTCCCGACTGCGCCAGCATGATGAGCCTGTTCTCCACGTCGGTGGCCCTCTGCTCCTTGACCAGCCTGATGCGACCTAGTCGGTCCGCCGCCTCCGGGTGAAGGATCTGTTGGAGGATGTGCTGTCGAGCCTCTTCTTGCTTCCTACAACATCGTCATGGTTAGATCTGTACCCCCTCCTTTCTTGAGAACACCTTCTCCCGCAGATTAAAGAGCAGGTGGGAATGAGACGGGGACAGTGGAAGTAGACGTACCTCCTCTGTGCTTCCTGCTGTTCCTGGCCGGCACCGCCGCCGCCGCGACCCATCGACGGACCACTGCCACCACCACCTTGCGCCTTGAGCTGCTCTAGGCGGGCTTTGCGGATCTGGAATATTCCGAGGTCAGTTGCGTCGTCGCACGCCACGGATTCCAAGAGGAGATCCCACCTGCTCGAGCTCGGAATCGTCCATTTTCGTCTCGGTCTTCTTCTGATTTTACCGGGTTTTTGGCAAGAGGAAGGAGAAAGTGGTGGAATCCATCATCTGCAGCGGGGCCAACGGATTTGTTCCGCGGGGCAAGTTCGCCAACGTACTATTTAGAGGGGCAAAAAATACCAACACCATCACATGACCTAGAAACAAACGAGCCTCAGTGAAAACAACGGCGCATGGCAGGTTCTTGTTATGGGACGGAAAGAAGCTTTGCATGATATTCTAATTCGTGATTGTAAGGACATCAGGTTACAAAATAAAAGTACATGGCTCTCCTCCTACTTTGGCTTGTTCTACTATAATCAGATGGAGCCCATTATGGTAAAAGTACATGACAAATGCGCCGGCTACTATGCAAGAATACCACACACCACATACAAACACACCCCCAGGTAAATAAAGCCTTTGTCTGACTCCTGCCCTGCTTCTTATTGCCCAGAGGAATACGCAGCCGGTAGGGTCAAACCTCCGCGGGTGCGGGTGCGGGTGCGGTAGCGGTAGCCGAGCTCCGAGGGTACAGACGTCTCCTCAAAGGGCACGTGGGAGTTGAGCTTCTCGATCTCCTGGGAGTGCCTGGCCTTGACCATGTCGCGCATCATGGAGTGGTAGCGAAGGTCGAGACCGAGCCTCTGACCGCGCTGGATGAAGTAGCCGTTGAGGTAGTCGACGTCGGTGGGTAGGCCCCTGGTGAGCTGGGTGGCCAGCCTGCTGGGTTGGGACTTCTTGGCCATGATACCGCCGTAGAGGACGTTGCGGATGGCGCGACCGTTGACAAAGTCGCGAATGGCCGACGAATTGCGAAGCTCAGGCATCGAGGTGAGCACCGCCACAATCTCCTCGAGGAGTCGGTGCATCATACGCTCGGCTGGGCGGTTCTGCAAGAGACCCTGGTACTGCTCGTCCAGGAGGACGCATACGGGCTCCACGACGGCGTTGAAGATGACGGAGGGCAGCTTGAACCGCAGCCATTGGTCGTACTGTGTCATGGTCGAGTTGAGCGCCTTGCTACCGGCCACCGTCTCGACAAAATTGACCCGCGTCTCCACCTTGCGCTGCAGCTCCTGCGTACGGATCGTCCTGGTTGTGCTCGCCGGCGTGAGCATGAGCTGCCCGAACCGGAGCTCTCTGACCGAGTCGTACTTCCGGTTGTACGCCAGGCGGTGGCTCATGTGGCCCAGCAGGAAGTCGGGTGTGTCCATTGTGCCGCTAAATATCTTCCTCCTCACGTCCTCGAGCACGCCCAGCCCGTCATTCATCAGGCACACAGTCGAGTCCTTGTCCAGGCGGTGCTTGACAGAGTCCAGCGCCAGAGCCGCCTCGTGACCGTTGCCGGTGACGACCAGCTGGTCGATATGCGAGTCATCCTCGACATTCGGCTCGGCCCTCGTCGCTGCGTTCTTTTCGATGAGCGGAGCTGCCGCAACGCCTCGTGCACCCCCCCTACGCGCCCTCTGGATGTTGCCGTACTTGGTCGACTCGTACCGAGGGGTCCACCCCATCAGCTCGACCGACTCATACAGCCCGGACAGAGCGTGGGCGATGAATTTGGACCGCTCGTCCTCTCCCAGAATGTGGATCTTGTGCACCGACGGCGACTTGGCCGCCTCGGCTCCCAGTAGCACCGATGGCACATACGAGTTATTTGAGCCAATCATTGCGCCAGTCGCCGTCGTCGTCGTCGTCGTTGTCTGCGTGGCCCTCTGCCTCGATCGACGGTTCGGATCCCGTATCTCGGTCGCCAGCGGGATCATTCCCCGCTTGTGCTGCTGATCCGTCCCCGAGGTTACCGTGCCGTAGCTCCTCTTGGCCGCCCGGCCCGTGCGACAACTACCTCGAGCACATTGTGCTGCTCGTTGTGATATCCTCACGGACAGATCTGATCGTGCGAGGCTCGCCACCTTGACTGATTTCCGCCCGGGAAGAGACGATGTTGTCGCCTCCCAGTATTCTTGGTAGAGTGGGAAAATTCGGAGGAAGCCGGGGGGGAAGGGCGAAACGAGAAGTTGTCGGTCTGGCAACAAACAAGCAAGAGTGGTGAATACCTAGGGAAAAGAAGCAGATGAAGAGGGGGGGGAAATAAGGGAGAGATGATAGAGTCTTCCCTTTTCTTCTTGATCGGGTTGAGTGTCAGAGGGAATTGATTGATTATGAGGGCCAAGGAGATTAGGAGGAAGAGAGAAGGCGAGTGGTAATAGCTCGATCGACGCAAGTCGTTAAACAGCGCGACGCCCTTTTTTTTCTCTTCGCCCCATATTAAAGCTAACGCCCCGTTTTACGCATAACTACCAAACGAAACGGATCCATCGAGATTCCCTCAAAACAAGCAACGAGGTTGATTGATGCCTCAAAACTGCGATATCAAGAAGTCATCGCGCCCAATCACCAACTTTCCGCTATTACAGCCCGCCTCAACATTCCTCACATACTCACACACACACATACATGCACAAGATGGCGGACATCAAGGATATCACGCGAGACCTAAATAAACTGGACTCCCAGCTGGATGGTCTGGAAGAGGTTATGAAGCCTCTGCTGAGCGACCTGCAGGAAATGTCCTCACAACTACCTCTGCTCGACAAAGCCAAGCTCTTCTCTCTCACAGCCTACGCCGTTGAGTCCCTACTTTTCTGTAAGCCAACTTTCCGCGAGCTCGATTCTTCCATTATGAAGAGTGATTATCTCATCTATACTGACCGCCTACTTACGACAGCCTCATTGAAACTGCAAGGAGCAGACGCCCAGAACCATGCCGTCTTCACGGAACTCAAGCGTATTCAGCAGTACTTTGCAAAGATCAAGTCCGCCGAACAGCCTGAAGCTCAGAGGAACACGACGGTCAACCAGGAGGCCGCCGCACGCATGCTCAGGTCGGATCTGGTAAGGGTTTTTTCCCGTCTCTTCCTCTCTCGTCTTTCCTTTTTGCCGCCTGCTTGCCTGCCTATCCCCTACGCGAGCAGAGACGTTGTCAGCACTGACAGACAGTTACATCTTCAGGCCGACAATAAGAGCATCAGCAGCAAGCTGGCAGAGAAGATTGCCGAGGAGCGCGCCAAGGCTCTGCTCAAGTCCATGGAGAACAATAGCAAGAAGAGGCCGGCTGTCGACTCGCCACAGCCCTCGGGCGGCGAGTCCAACGAGGCTCAACAGAAGAGCAAGAAGCCCAAGAACAAGAAGGGCAGGAAGGGCGGCAAAGCATGACGCGTCTGACCAAGCAGACCACGTCTGTCTTCGTCACCTGAGTAGGGCGACTTCACTTGGGAGCCGAGCCATTGTACTTGGCAGGGACATGAAACGACTTACTTTCTTCAACCTCACCTTGAGCTTTTCGGCTTCGGATTTCTGCATTCATCTAATAAAGAAGACTCTCGTGGCTCAGGATCAGCCACGGGTCGGGCTGGCGTTTGGGAGTAGGGGCACGCACCGCGGCGTTGGGACATGATAGAATGCATTTATCAAAGATAAACCATAAATCCTCTTCTTCCTTCCTCCCAACTCACATGACCGGACCGGACAGTAATGAAGTCCCCCATCAAGTTGCTGGCTTTTTGCAAGTCTTTCAACCCAGTTACGAGATCTAGTCTCCCGTATTCCGAAAACACCCATATCGTTATATCGTTATCCAGAACCACCCCGTTAAATGCAATGCACCAACCGAAGTAGCTAAGATGACATGTAGTAACCCCTTTACCATGATTGGTCAGGACCGAGTCCTTTTGCCGCTCCTCCCCACGGTTATTCCGAGGGTCCGGTAGGCCGTAAAGACTGACCAATATTATTAGTTTAGTTGTCGATTGGTATAACTCCGGTCTTCTGCGTCCTTCCAAGCCGGATTCTCTTTTTTGCCATTAATATTTACTTACTACTTCCTCAACCAAACCACCTCCCCCCTCTCCGAAATCTCCCATCGACGACACCACATCTCCTCCCACTTAAGAAGAAAGAGAAAAAAAAAGCCTCCACAGCAAAGATGCCCCGCAACCGTTCCGCCGGCCGCGCCCCCGCCTCGCGCGCTCCCACGCGCCCTACTGTAGCTCCTGCCGCTCCCGCCCCCCAGCAGCAGCGCCCTGCCACCACCATGGCTGCTCCCCAGCAGCAATACGCTCCTCCTCCCCAGGCTGCCGCTCCTTCTCAGGGTCCCGGACTCTTTGGCCAGATGGCCAGCACTGCTGCGTAAGTTTCCTTCTACCTTTTTTTCTTCTTCCTTCCCTCTCTTCTACTGTCCTCCCTTTCAAGCACATGTCTAGTAATAGCTTGGCTAATATGAACGAACCTACAGTGGTGTCGCCGTCGGTTCTTCCATCGGCCACGCCATAGGCGGTTTATTCTCCGGCGGCTCCTCCGAGCCCGCCGCTCCCCAGCAGCAGCAGGTCCAGACATCTGCCCCCCAGGATAACCAGTGGGCCAACGGTGGCAGCTGCCAGGGCGCCGCCACCCAGTTCACCCAGTGCATGGACGAGCACGGCGGCAACATGCAGATCTGCAACTGGTACCTTGAGCAGCTCAAGGCTTGCCAGGCCGCCGCCAAGAACTACTAGGAGACGCGGTCGCTGTCGTGGTAGCGGCTCGGCCTATTGTTGACGTACTGTACATGAAGAAACGAATATCGGATTGAGACATCGTCGTCGTCACTGCTGCTGCTGCTGCTGCTGCTGTACGTATATGGTTGAGGACACGGAAAGGAATCGCAAGAAAAGGAAAAACGGAACAGATAATAATGGGCTTGAACTGTTTTTTTTTTATCGTTGCATAGCAGTGTGTGTGTGTAATAATAGTACAGTACAACATGGCATCCCCACTCATGACACGGGGCCTCCCTATTCCAAAGCATCATCGCTTCTCCTCGTCATCCGGATTCGGCTCAAAATTCAGCTTGTGGAGTTAGCTTTGACTCTTTGACTCTTCGGCATATTGTAGCTGCTTGCGTTCACGAGGTGGTTTAGGTGACGTACAGAATTCCCATTATAGAGCTGTTGATCTCGCCGCCTGTCTTCTGGGTTCTGGAACCCCGCGACCCGCGAATGGCGAACCTGAGGGGGCGTGTCGCCACCTGACTGCCGTTGACTAGACGTCGGCTCGTGAGATGCCCTTGCGCCTACCCCCCCGAGACCAATCATGGCGAGTATCCAGGCGAGTGATCCGAGTAGGAGGCGGATAATACGCACAAAGAGGTTGCTGTCCGGCCCGGCGCCGCCTCCGTAGGCCGAAGCATACCTCTGCACGGGGATGAGGACCAGCGTCGACGAGGGCGACAGCTGCAGGTCCCCCAGGTCCCTCGACTCCTCCGTCTCGTCAATGTTGCGGTTGGGCATCGGGGTGAGGACCTGCTTAAACGTGTAGGGCAAGGCGCCATCGTTGCGGCCCTCGTCGACCCACCTGCGCACGTCCTTGAGCGTCGTCGACTCGGTCGGGAACCTCGACCGCATGGTTGAACCGTCAAAAAGCCGGATCTGGAGGGCAGTCGTCGAGCTCAGCCGCGAAGAGCTGGTGGTCGTCCTGGAGTCCGGAGACAGAGACATGGCGTCCACGCTGCTCCTCTCGCTGCCCCCGCTAGCCCTCTGCCTCCGACGTTCGGCCGCGACCTGGCGACGCTCTTCCCTGTCCGCCTCGATCCTCTGGAGGATCCGCCTGCGCTCGCTGTCTTCCTTCTTCTTCCGCTTCTTGAGCAGCTCGGCCTGCTTGTGGGCCCTGGCAGCGTCGCTGTCGGCCCCCGCCTCAGCCTCGGCCTTGGCCCTCTCCTTCGCCTTGGCACGCTCCTCCTTAGCCTTGCGCTCCGCCTCTTCCTTCTCCGCCTGGAGCCTTGCAGCCCGTTCGGCCAGGACCCGGCGCACATTTTCCGACTGCTCCGACTCCTGTGCATATCGTGTCGGCGGAGGGTCGTCGTTCTGCGTCTGGGCGGGAGACGATGATGAGGGCTCCTGATGTTGCGACGCCGTCGTCGGCTGGGCGCTGAATGCCGTGTGGATGCGTCGCGTGAAGTCGTCCTGGCTCACGCCGGGCGTGATGTACTCCTTGAGTTCGCCGTTCTTGATGATCACAACCGTCGGGGTCTGCGGTAGCGGGAATATCTGCGCCAGGTAGCCTGCCTCCTCGGAACCAGCTCTGAGTCGGAGGGCGACGGCCTGATTCTTGATCAAGGTGTTGAGCTTGGAGAAAACAGAGGAACTACGGTGTCAGTCTGGTCCAGCCTCGTTCGAGCCAGGAAAAAAACAAGGATCAATAACATACCGACTCGACTTGGAGATACTCATTCTCCCATTTTTGACTCTCATCATTCTCATCTAGGAGACTCCACCATTAGCCTTCCTGACGGTATTGCTTAGCGCTGTAACTGTCCGTGCTGTGCGTACCGGTGACGAAGCACAGGACTAGCTTCTGCTGCCCGACGGCAGTCGAGATCCCCTCCTGCAGGGAACCTTGATAAAACATTGCGCACTCTCCCGCGTATTGTGACCGGTTGGGGGAGTCGTCAATGATGGTCGAAGAGTAGTCAATACTGCGCTGAGACACTAGCCTCGGCAAGCTTGGGTTGTTGTCCCTCCGAACCCCCTTGCCTTCGGTGGGACCGTAAACGTGGCTTAACGTCGAAGCAGTCAGCGAGAGAGCTGACAAAGTCGAAGAGATGCGAGGTTTTCGATGATGTGATGTATCTTGAGAACCAAGTAAGAAGATATGATCCCGGAGCCTTGGGACTTTATGAAATAAAAGGGATAAAGACGAAAAGAAAGATGGCCCCGGTTCCGGATCAGGGTTTGTAAAATGGAAAGGAAGGCTGGGCAGATAGATGGCGGGAATGTTGGGAGTGGCCGAGAGAGGAACGAGGAACCACTCACATGCGTCACAGCTCTCCATTCAGTGGCAAAATGGGGGGTCCTTCGACTGCATCCGGTAGGCGGTGGAGAGGAGTTTGGTGGGGAGGTGATTCTACCCTTGATCTCAAAATCTACTCGTATGCATCTCGAAACAGCCGAGAGCTCGTTTGATTGGAGGGGAGGGCAGTTAATCTCAATATAGGATTAATGTCAGATCATGACCACATCTCGACTCTTTATCATACTCTGGCCGAGTGGTGAGTCTTGGGTTGACAAGACCGACAGGTTTCTATGACCTAATGGAGCAAAAGTAAGGTCCGGACGATATCTGCACGACATAATTCCGCAGAACGGTAGTGGCATGACACAATATTGCAGTCAGGACCTACATGTAGTAGATGTAGACCCTCTGAAGACACGCCAGATCAACATTCGGTAGAGAAGCCGTCCAGAATTCGCACACTCCCAACTATTGAGTAGTAGCAAATCATCCATGGGCATCGTGTCATACAGTATAGTAGAGCCGTGACTTGAATGTCCGGAACCCACCAGTTGGCAGTGTGCTTCCTGATGGCGACAGCACGTACCACCTGTAGACATGAGTACAGTGGTCTATTCCTACTAGCACACCCTGGGTTGATGAGTGCGTGTCTGATTGCTTAATCCTTCAAAAGGGAGGAAATCTATCTATGAGGCTATTTATAGATGTGAGAGTGTGGCAGCAGCCTCTGGCTGCTTACTTACATAGTTATGCATTCTTGGGGTGCCACAGCAGTTACAGTGCACAGTGCAGGGTATCCGACAACCCCAGACCATGCGCATGTGGGGCGTGCCCCCAAGGGAGATCCGGACGACCCAGGGATTCGATCATGGAAATAAGGCCGACCAGACCAAAAAAAAAAAAGAGAGAAAGACCCCCCCCCCCCCCCCCCCCCTCCCCCCAAATGAACATCATCAGCGACCCGCCACATCGCCCACGACACGACTACAATGATGAACGCGACATCACAGTCTACACTGCTGCGCAGTCTACAGACGGCCACCCGAGCTAGGCCGGCGCTCCGTAGCCTAGCCCGACCGTGTCCTCGCCGACCGTTCTCGTCGACCCGACCTCGGGCGTCATCCGAGAGACATCCGGTCGACAGTCCGGAATTCGTGTCCGTGGCCGACGCAGCTCCCAAGCTCGTACGAGCCGGTCGTCGACATGGAATAGGCCTACTCTTCCTAGGTAACACATACTGATATATCCATCCACCTCTCTCCCACACACGGCTGACAGCAACAAACCGACAAATAAAAAGGCGTCATCCCGGTCACGGCCTTCTTCCTGGGAACATGGCAGGTGAAGAGGTTGGGATGGAAGACGGAGCTGATTGCCAAGTTCGAGGACCGCCTCGTCCGCGAGCCGCTACCCCTCCCGCCCCGGGTCGACCCGGACGCCATCCACGACTTTGACTTCCGCCGCGTCATCGCCACCGGGACCTTTCGACACGATCAGGAGATGCTCATCGGCCCTCGCATGCGCGACGGACACGACGGGTACATGGTCGTCACGCCGCTCGAGCGTTCGGGCGGTGCGTCCACCATCCTCGTCAACAGGGGCTGGATCAGCAAGGAGCACCGCGACAAGCGCACCAGACCAGACGGCCTGCAGACCGGCGAGGTCACGGTCGAGGGCCTCCTGCGCGAGCCCTGGAAGAAGAACATGTTTACACCCGAGAATAGGCCCGAGAAGGGCGAGTTTTATTTCCCCGACGTCAAGCAGATGGCTGAGCTGACCGGGAGTCAACCCGTCTGGGTCGAGGCTACCAATGGTTTGTTTGCCCTCCTCTCTCCCTCTCCCTCTCCTTCCCTCTCTCTCTTTCTATCCTCCCTTTTTTCTCTACACTCTTGATATATACAGACGCAGCTGACCTCTCGCAGAACCCGAATTCATGCAAATGGTCGACTATGAGAGGCGCGGCATCCCATTCGGCAGGGCAGCCGAGGTCAACCTGCGTAACAACCACGCCCAGTACATTTTCACCTGGTAAGGTCCCCCTCCTCCCCCCCCTCTCTCTTTTTTTAGACAGTTACCTAACAAAGCAATGAAGGTACGGGCTTGCATTCGCAACATCCATCATGCTGTACATGGTGGCCAAGAAGCCTTCATCAGAGGTAGCTCGTCGCGCCAGCCGGGCCTACCGCAACGCGTAAGACTTGGTCACTATAAGCGGAAATAATTCCCACCTCCTCCTCATCATCACGTATCATCCTCTTCCTCTTCCTCCTCTTCCTCGCCGTCTGCCCCGTGCTCCCCTCTACGTTTCTTAGTCGTTTGGGCTATAGGCATCCTGAGTTCCTGAAGGAGCTCTCGGGGCATATGTTTCTGTGCAAGGGAGAAGACGGTTGATGTGGAGCCGATCTGGCGTTGTCTGTTTATTTTATATGTAAGATTAGTTGAAGGTGAAGAAGCCAGTGTACAAGAGCAGAAGAAAAAAAAGACAAACCTTCGCATCAGTGTGACTACGTCACTCTCCTCAATCGTCTTGCGCTTCGCGTGATTGGCATACGCACCCAGGTCATCGCCCAGCTGCTCAAAGTACCACTCCGATGCCTGTATCAAGGCAGTGAGCGTATCGGTAGACACTCTCGGGTTGCTCAGACCCGACGACTGCAGGGCCGTCTGTGCCACTCTCTTGACGAACGCCGGCGGCAGCGAGGGGTACTCTATCCCGTGGCGGGAAACGAGCTTTCTCTTCCTGCGGGGCGGCAGAGCCTCTCTTATCCGAACGTGGCCAACGTCCGACTGTCGGGCTGGTGCTGGTGCTGGTGCACGGGCAGCAGGCGCCGTGGCAGCCACGGGTGACATCTCAGGAGCAGCAGCATACGCCACATTTTCAGCGTACTCTTCGTAACCACCGGCGGCGTCGTCGTCGAAACCGCCGTCGTCCATTGGCACATCGCCGCCGCCGTCGCTCCGCTCAGGAATGTCCTCAACGGGTTCCCGATCGCCATCGTCGCTGTGGTCGGGGATATCCTCTAGCGGCTCCCGGTCGCCGTCATCGCCGTCATCGCTCCCATCGGGAATATCCTCGAGCGGTTCCCGATCCGAGAAGTCATCCAAGGGAAGCGGCGTCGGCGGCGAACGCCCTTCGCTAAAGGGAGCGGGAGCGGGAGCGGGTGTAGGAGGAGGAGGAGCGGCGTCGGCGGCGTTGGCAGCAACGGCCCCAGTCGCTTCCTGCTCCTCGATAAGGAGCCCCGTGGGGTCCTGAGCGATCGGTGAGGTGGGGGGTGCGTCGTCTCCGGGCTCGGACATAACAAACGTCGTCTGGCCGTCTAGGCCTTCGGGCATCTCCAAGCCAAAGTCGCTCACGCGACCGAGGCTAGACCGTCTCGTGGGATCAGCATCGATGCGCTGGTATTCGTCCACGTCCTCGGCGACCTGCTCCGGGAAGAAGTCAGACTGGCGCCCGGTGACATCAGGACTCATCATCTGGTTCCCCTCAAACACATCGCTGGGCCGTAGGCTCCCGAGGCTGCCGCGCGACAGACGCCCCGCAGCCTGCTGGCCAAAGTCCATCCGGCGAGGCAGCTCGACCGAGGCAACCGTGTAGTCGAAGTCCTCCAGCATGGAAGGCCGCGGCGGGCGCAGCTCCTCCTCATCGTCGTCGTCGTCCCGGTCGATAGGCAGCGACAGACGCGGCGGACGCAGATCTTCTTCGTCATCGTCATCATCGTCGTCGTGACCGGCCCGCTCCTCGGGTATAGGCTGTGTGAAGTCCGAGGACCTAGCTGTGCGACGACGCTGACGCCGGTGACCGCTACGGGAAGGCGGTGTAGCTGTGTCGGGTGCCCCCGCCGACGATGATGCCGACGATATAGACGACGACGTACTCACGCGCTTGCTTGTGGGGGCCAGCTTCCTGCCCAGGTTGCGCAGGATATCCATGGGTGTTTCGCGCTGGTCCATCAGGCTCCTCCGACGGTTCTTCCCCGGTGTGAATACGGCGGTGCGGCGGTCATGGAGTGCCCGCTGGGCCAGCTTGGCGTGCGGCGTCGGTGCATTGCTCTGCCCCCCTTGTGGTCCGCCTGATGCTGAGACGGAGGCGGCGCGGCGCACAGAGTTGAGAAGGTCGCGTGATGTGGTGCGGTCGAGGGGCGTGTGTACAGAGGGACGCGATGACGGGGGCTCGGCTGTGGATGCTCTCCCGACGGGAGTACGGCCGATGGGGGTTCGCGCCGGGCCTGGTGTTCTACCTGTAGGTCTGTTGCTCTTTGGTGTTGACTCCATGACGTCGGAGTGCGCACACGCGTGTGCGCGTAGGGGCGAATGGTGGGCTGTGCTTCACGGGAGAGATATGTGTGTATGTTTAGGTGCAACGGCCTATATTATCTCTAGGGGCGTGATGTAGCAATTTGTTTAGAGGGCGTTGTGTACAAGAGGGGAAATTTGTCGTTGGGGATATCGTTGCCGTTGTTGGTGGTGAGGAGTGACGGAGAGTGTGACGCGCTTGCAGTAGAGTAAGTAGAGTTAAGAGTAGCTTGACGCGTGGGTGGGGGGAGAGGGGCGGATTTCATGATTTCTCCCCTCTACAACATCCTGGTCTCTCACCCCATTTCAGCATTTCATCACCATATCATCTGTATGCGTGTAGCATCTTCTGCATTCCCGTGAGATTTTCATTTCGAATTATGGAAAAGGAAGAAGACTGCTTCGTTTATCTGCTTGTTCAACAAAGACCAGCCCTCTCTGGCAATGATGCGCGACCGAGGACGTGTCCAAGTACCACCGCTCGTGGCCAACTGGGAATCTGGCCAACTTCCCAGATCCAGATAGAGTACCACCAGTGATCACACTCGATATTATACCTGTTGGTAAAGATGATGACGACGTTCCCCGTGACAGCTGCAGTCGTTGCATTCGTTGCCTACCAAGCTGCCTGTGTCGGCACTCAGCGCAGCGTTTGGCAGAGACGGCATTCTCCCCTTCTCCTGATTCATATTTGCGATCCGTCAAACGGACATGTCCATTGTACTGCTGATAACATGCGAACAAAATCACGGTGTTTGCGGTTCAGATTTATATATAATACCGATAAACCCCGAGTCAGTACGGACGGACAAAGTCCCACCGTGGCAAACGATGTCGTTTAACACTGCAGGATCCAGCCGTTGCAAATATAAAGGAAAGCCAAATAGCCGGTGACATAAGTATTGGAAAATATTGACAAATACTCCATCGGTTTTCTTTCTTAGTCTTTATACGTTTATCAACTTGAACGTGACTAACAGCAACAGCCGCATGTGCTCTGGCGAAAAGAAAAGATGAAATAAGGAAAAGGGGAGCTAAGATATAAGATAGAACAAAAAAAAAAAAAAAACCGACGATCAGCCCCTCCCCCACCATCGGCAAAGGATCCTAAGACCTTGAGATTCTGCCGTCTTCTCTCTTTCCCCCTCCCCCTTTACCTCGCCACCCACAAGACGCTGCCCTTGGACAACGCAGTTGACGTTGTGCGGAGAAGATATCAGCGAGCGGCTTCCCAATTCGATGAGGACAGAAGAGACACCGTCGCTCCCGTCGAGCATCCTACCGCCCCTCCGTTCTCTCGAGTCCACATCCCAGGATGCCATATTCACCGCCCTGAGGGGGCTGATGGCCATATACTGTCCTCACCTATCGGAAGATGGGCAGAAGCAGCAGGTGAAAACTTCCGCACTCGATGATGACGACGACGACGACAAAGACTCCCCACTGGCCGCTATCCGCGCCGACGCCTTTGAAAAATCCTTTGTCGAGCGCTGGCTGACGGGCTTCCTATCGCGATCCGAGATGCTGACGTGCTTCGACTCGGATGTCAACGACTCACGTCAGCGCGCCGTCGACCTGGCCTCCCATATATTTGAGTCCCTCACGGCCAATTCAGACGACGATGACCAACAGCGCCAGGAGGAACTAGCCGACTATACGCGAGATTTCTCCTTTACCGTCCTCGGCCGTGACGACGAGGAGCCCATCACGGTGCGTCTCAATGACGGTTTGGCAGGCCAGAACCCCAAGGAGGCCGACGACGTAGGTCTTCAGAGCTGGGGCGCCTCCATCGTCTTCTCGGACCTGCTGTGCAACGAGCCGTCGCGCTTCGGCCTTACACGCGAGAACCTGGGCGTGTCGCCGCGCATCGTCGATCTCGGCGCCGGAACGGGGCTGGTCAGCTTCGTCCTCGCCAAGCTGCTCCCGCGCCTGGACGTCCCGGACTCCACTGTGATCCCGACAGACTACCATCCGCTGGTTCTCGATAATCTGCGTGCCAACGTCGATGCCAACTTTTCTGCCTCGGCATCCTCGTCGTCGTCCTTCACGTCAGCGTCCCTGTCGACCACCACCACCGCCTCCTCGACCGTGTCCCGAGACAGCGTCCCTGCCGCCCTGCTCGACTGGGCGAAGCCGTCCTCCGAGCCGCCCCTCCACCTACCCGCCGACATGCTCTTCGCCACAGATGTCGTGTACATGGCCCAGCATGCCGCGTGGATCCGCAACTGCGCCACGGGACTGCTCGCCCCCAAGGGCATCTTCTGGCTCCTTGTCACCGTGCGCGACACGGGCAGATTCGACGGCGTGAGCGATACCGTCGGGAGGGCCTTTGCCGACGAGGACAGGCCACGGGGACCGGATGGGAGGCGGTTGACCATTCTCAACGAGGAGCGTCTAGAGAAGAGGAAGGCTATAGGGAGGGGTGATGAGGCTGGGTATAGACTTTTCAGAATCGGTTGGGCATAGACCAGTAGACATAGATTATGAAGTATAGATCAAGTAGACATTTGGTTAGGGGTATAGATCAGTAGACATACAGTAGAATCGTGCATTCCCAACCTTGTTTTGCTCCAACTCTACCTCTACAACGAACCGTCAATGCCAACGAGCTCACTAGCCACACCGTTTCTCTCCCACACTCTCCATGGAACGCATGTAGCATAACCCTCCACCACAATCACGACGACGACGCCTTCTACCCTTGATCCAGAGTAGCCCTCACTCGTCGTCTTCTCTCATCGCCCACCGCATAGACTACATAGTCACCATTTCCGACACTGACCACCATCAGTCGAGGCGTAATTGGTTTAGTGGTAAAATTCTCCGTTGCCATCCGAGCAGCGTCGGGGAGCCCTGGGTTCGATTCCCAGATTACGCAGTCAGCTCACAGCATGAGTTCATCCAACCTAGCGTGATTGGTTTAGTGGTAAAATTCTCCGTTGCCATTCGAGCAGCGTCGGGGAGCCCTGGGTTCGATTCCCAGATCACGCAGATCTTTTTGCTTCCTTCATGTAGCATCCATCATCACCCTGTGTACATGTATCTCATCTTTTTTTCTTCTTTCTTCCAATAAAGCATGGTTGTTGGCGTTGATGGAGTGTGATTAGTTGCCTCTACCCCTTTTCACTGAGTAGTAATATCACATCTCGAAATAAGTCTCAACTTCTCAAATAGCACTTTATTGAATGAATATTTCTAACGTGCCAACCGAGACTTCTCGGTATTCCCAATCTTCCATTGCTCAGTTCATTCCGTACCTTGGCAATCCCATATTATCCCAAACGCACACCTATTCCCTCCTATGCAATCTCCAACACCAAAACAAGAAAGAGTGTATATACATATATATACACATCTCGCATGCAAACTGATTGATCAATCAATCGTACCGAACCCCCCTTTCTCAACAACCATCTCGGCCAGCTCCTCAACCGTCCTGTCACTCAGCACCTCAAACACGGAGATGTTGACACCGCAGTTGGTAAACACCCAGTTGCGCACGCCAACAGCAACTAGGGAGTCCACCCCGTACGCCGTGGGTGACTTGTGCGGGTCCATCTCCTCGAAGAGCATGTTCATCGCCTTGGCGAGCATGTGCATTAGGCCCGAGGTGATACTGTCCGTGGCGGCGCCGACGTCTGTGCATGCAGCCAGCATGGCCTTCATTTCCACCTTGCCGTTGGAACTTCCGTCTTGCTCATCCCCCGAAGATGGGGGTGGCCTGTCAACCAGGTCGAGGTGGCTCCAGAGAGCTGTGCGCGACCAGTACGGGTCGGTAGGTTGGTTCTGGAGCAAGAGGCCGCCTGTGCCGACACCGAGAGTCACCTGCGGCGGCGTGGGTACGCCAGAGAGCGTCTCCCCCGTAACTGCATGCTTGACAAGCTTGAGGAAGTCCTCGTGTCGAATGCCGTAGAAGCCACCGGCCTTTAGCATGTCAAGCACCGCCTCGTCGTCAGCCAGCATCCCCGTTCCCAAGACAGGGCCCAGGTTGAGGGAAACAGCATGTATGCCAGAAGCACGAAGATTGCGGGCCAGCGCATCCTCAAAACAGTTACCTGCCGCGTAGTTGGCCTGGCTTCGCGTGCCGACCACACCTGAAGAGCTGGACAGGAAGACGAAGAATGGCTGGTGGTCCTGCCCCCCGATCTTGTCTGTGAAGCAGGAGACGAGGTTTTCGGAACCCAGGACCTTGGGGTGGAAGGCGGCCGTCCAGTCTTCGTAACTCATGTTTTCAAAGATACTGTCCTTGATGACGGCTGCGCACTGGAAGACGCCGCGCACGGGGGGCATGGCGGAGGACGAGAGGTTCTCCACGACTGCCTTTGATAGAAGAGCCAGGTCACGAATGTCGGCACAAATGACGCGTACGTTGATTCTGCGCTGGGAAAGTCCGTCGAGAAACTCCTTTGCCGCACCCGACGTCGCGCCTGATCGGGATATGAAGGCAAAGTGACGGGCCCCGGCGTCGGCAAGGAGCTCCGCGATGCTCCGTCCAAGACCACCCAGGCCGCCAGCAAGGACGTATGTTCCATAAGGGTCCACGGCCTCTGAGAGTGACTTAGTGTTCTCAGCCGTGGGCACCGGCACAGTTGAGGCTGATCCAACCCGGAGGCATGCGTGCCCGAAAAACGGGTTGGCCCGGAGGTGTTCAAAGGCACTCTGCACGCTGCCAATGTCGAAGTCGGTTGTTACGGCCTTCTCTGGGTATGGCGCGTAGGGCTCGAGATGGTAATTCTCGACAAACTTGATCGTCTTACGGAACAGGTGAGCAACAAAATCGGCGTCTTCCCCCATCATTTGACCTATATCGAAGCCCACAAAGGTCCCAGAAGACGGGACAACCCTCGCGGTCTGAACGTCCGACCGATCCTGGAGCTGAATCGTCGTGCCGCCTGAAGGAAGAAAAAGGGAAGGTGTTAGTACGCATCAGAGTCAATAATGATTGTCAAGAAAAAAACTTGCCTGGACGGATATAGTCTACAGCCAGACCAAGACCCTCATGTGTAGGGCTGTACAGGACATCTACACCCCTCCCATCTGTGGCAAGCTTGATAGCTTTACCCATGGCCTCCGAGGAGTTTCCATCGAGGATCTGTTCATCCGCCAGACCCAACAGGCGCAGGAACGCCTTCTGCTCGTCAACTGCCGGCCCAAGAACACTTGCCAGAGCATGGGCTCCGGAGATCTGGCACAACCTGATGGCGGCTACACCGAAACAGCTGGCGCCCGCGTGAACGAGGACCATTCTCCTTCTGGGCTGACCGGAAACCCGACCGATGTGGACGAGAGCATAGTAGGCGCTGACATAGTAGCTGGGAACAAACCCTAGCGGGGCAATGGCGGACACAAACCTCGCATCGGCGTGGACAATGCTCTGGATGCTTCCGCCCTGGGGAACCATAGCGACGACCTGGGTCCCCGGCAATAGTGTCTTGTCCATGTGCCAAACTCCGGATCCTATCCTCTCAATCTTACCAATTACATCCATCCCCACCCTGGACTCGGTCGTGCGGCCCTGAGCGACCTCCAGGTCTCGGAAGGACAGAGGAGCGTGTTGAAGCTCCACGGAGACCTCTTCGGGTCCAAGAGTTCCGAGCTCAAACTCGGAAAAGTGAACTGAGCATTTCATCAGACCTGGGCTAGAAATTCTGAGACGCAGCCCCTTTCCCGTAGATGTAGGATTCTCTGTGACAAAGGGCAAATATTCCATGGCGGATGATGTCCATCCGGTCTCAATGAGCTGATTCAGTCCGTCAATCATGGTCAGCCGGGGAATGTAGACTTTCCCGTTCCTCTCCGAGAGCTCCGTTTCCTTGGGCCCTGGGCCATCAGCCTGCATAAAGGTCCTTTGGAAGACTTCCATGACGGCGGGCGAGACGTGTTCGGCACACAGATTCGTCTCTATGTCAAGGTCAAATGTCACAATAGTTTTCTGGGCATCTTCCGCGATGAGGGTTCTCGAGAGAGCAATAATCGGCGATGCGCGAGGGTTGGATGACTCCATGTTCGCGCCCCGCGTTATCCAGATCAAGCCACTAGCCATCCCCTGGATGGTGTGGAAGGCTTCAAACTCCATTTCGTTCCACCCGTAGACGAACCCGTAACTTTTAGATTGCAGGGTGAGGTCGAGGATGGATATGATCACTTTGCCCGAGATGCTTTGTGTGTCGCCGCTCATGACTCTTTGGAGGGGGACGATCGTCATGTTAACCAGGATACCCTCGCTGACGGCAGTTGTGAGGAGTTCATTGAGGAAGGACTGTGCTTCCTCCTCCCATCCCTGCGAATACAAAACGACCACGTCTGACTGCTTCCGAGCACTGTCCGGGATCGGGGAGCGAGTTGCAGTAAACTCCCCAAAGTCGTCCGGGCTAACAAGCTTGTTGCTGTCGTTGAGGAAAATGCGGTTACCATCATCATCCTGTCTGCCCAGATTGCAGTCTGTGACTAGCCACCCATCGGGCTTCAGGTACTTCTTGAGAGAGCCCGTCTCGATACCGGAGTTCGAAAAGCAGAGGATATAGTGGTAGTCTGTAGCTGGCTCGCAGTTGTTGTCGAGCTGGACTGTCCCTACATAGGACTGGAGTGTCGTTCCCTCAAGGAGTCTGTGGACGGCACTATACTCTCCGCCGGAGAGCTCGGCAATAGCATATCTGGACAGCTTTGGAGTCTTGTCCAAAGTAGTGAGCTTCTGAAGGATCGACAGTGCGGTCGCCGAAGTTCCGCCAACCTGAAGAACAGAAAGCCCCGGATATCTGTGGGCGAGTAGTTCTAGGTGTTCGGACACGCTGGATGGGGAAGCGAAAGCAACGTCCTCCTTCCAAACAATCTCGCTACAGAGACTATGATGGTTCGGAAGGAAACTGCTGTTCTCAGGCCCAGCCTCTGCAATTCTGGTGAGGTGGAGACCGTTGATAGTAACGCGAGAGCCATTTGCACCTTCAAGTCGCATAACCACCTCGGCCTTGGCCCCGTCAATTCCGGACCTCTCGGCGGTGGAGTACCCTGAAAAGTGCGAGGAGTCGTGTTTATCCAAGTCACTCGATACAAAGAGGCTCTCGATGAAGGTTGGCACCATGGGAATTGGTTCGATGGCAAAGAGTGTCTGCATCATCGAGTCGAGAGTTGCAGGGTGGATCAGATGCGGGTATTCAAAGTTGGCGGGCATCTTTGACTTGGTGTCGGGGATGTAGACATCGGCGACACAAGACCTTCCGCCTCGGTGGAGGCCCCGTATGTTCTGGAAGAGCGGGCCGTAGTTTATTCCGACTGTGTCAAGAAGCTCATAAAGTTGGCGAGGGTTTACAGCTTCGACACATGATTTACTTGCCTCCTGATACTTGTGCTCGATGAGATGAGGCACAGGGTCCAGCATTCCGTCCTTGTATCGGAAACGCAAGTGACCAGTGGCATGCTTCTCCCAGAGGCCGTCGAGTTGCTTGGAGTAGACGGCGAACTCGTGAGAGCCAGAGATCTTGGCCTCATGCAGACGCCCCATGTCTCTCTTGATGTTGAGAGCGGTCTCAAGACCATGCTCCGTGGGGGGGATGATCATGGCCTTCTCGATGTGCATGTTCATGATCTCGTAGCCGAGGAGGGAGGGTTGTAGTTCGAAAGCCATCTGCTTGGCGCCCTCGATCACCATGGCCGCCATACCTGCGGCAGGATAGACAATCGTCTTTTGAACTTGGTGGTCGTGGATCCAGGGGTTCTCCGACACGCGAAGGAAGCCACGCCAACGAGGCTCAAAGGGAATAGAGTCGGCCGTCGGGGCTCCAATGAGATCTTGGCGCGGGTATTGACGGAACCGGTTTGCTTTTCCAAGGTGTGACTCGTGCCAGTAGGATCTATCATGGTTCCATGGGTAAGGGGGCAGGTCGGTGAGACACCGGAGCGTTTTGGCCTCACCGTTTCCACTCTTGCGTCGGATGACAGCTTCCATGTCGGCATCGTAGCCGCTTGCCCAAAGCTCACCGATCGCGTTGAGAAGAGATTCAGAGCCGGGAACCCGTGGTTTGAGGACAGAGAGGTACCTGGGAGTCTTCTTTCCGAGCTTAGATTCTTTCAGGATGTCGTTGGTTGGAGCTTTCAGAGTATCCCTTGGGCCGAGCTCGAGCATGATTTCCGGCATCTTCTCCTTCGGGGATGCCAACAGCTGACAGACGGCAGACAGGTACCGCACAGGAGAGGACATGTTCTTCTCCCAGTACTCGGTGCCAAGCTCCTCCGCCGTGACAGCGCTTCCGGTCACCGAGGAGAGCACGGTTCCAGATCCAGTCGAGCATGTGTTGATTGGACCCAGGGAGTTGGTGTAGTCGGGACCGACGAGCTTCATGTGGTCAGAATGATAGGCCACATTGACATTCAAGACTCGGTTGAAGACACCCTTGCTGGTAAGGTCCTGAGAGATGTAGCCGATGGCACTCTCCTCCCCAGAAATGGTGATGGATCGCGGACTGTTGATGCAGGCAATCTGAGCCGACAGGCTTGCCGGAGCAAGATACTCCTGAGCTTCCGCCTCGGTCATCTCGACAGCAATCATGCCGCCCTTGAGCTCGGGGTCCTTGACGGAAATACTGGCCGCAGCGACACCACGATGGTAAGCAATGCGCCAGGCATCCTCGCGACTGAGCGTACCAGATGCAAAGGCGGCTGCGATCTCACCGGACGAATGGCCAATTAACTGTGCTGCATGCACGCCCATCGAGTGCATTAGGTCCACCAAAGCAATTTGCAAGGCGGTTGTTGCTGGCTGGGAGATCTCCGGGCTTGAGATGCGCGACTCGTCTGCGTGCTTCATCATCTCGTCCATGAGAGTAAACTGGCTATCTAGACTGGCCTTCATGTAGTCGCTCGCCTCCTGGAGACTGTTCCTGAAGACTTCGTAGTCCAGGAGATCGCAGCCCATGCGAGCCCACTGAGCGCCTTGGCCGCAAAAGATGAAGCAAAGCCCCGGCTTTCTCTCGACAGGGAACCTTCTGAAGCTGTCCGGGTCGACAGACTTCATCTTGTAAATGAGCTGCTCCTCAGAGCTTGCAACAATGGCCGTCTTCCACTCGAGTATTGAGCGCCGGCACCCGAGAGTGTAGGCATAGTTGTCCATGAAATGAGGTTCAGTGTTGTCAAGAGCAGACTCGACGTACGGGATCTGGGAGTTGATGACCCTCTGGACACCCAGCCGTTCATTGGAAGAGAAACAAAAGAGATGCGGCGTTGGCTCGGAATGGCCATTGGATGTCAGTCCATCGACCGACAGAGGTTCGAGTTTGGAAACCAAACCATGGCTGGCTAGATGACCCGATGCCTCGTCGATGATGACATGGGCGTTGGTGCCGCCGAAACCGAAACAATTGACGCTGGCACGGCGAATTCCTGGTACGGGCCAGTCCATGAGAGACGTTGGCACCTTGACCTTCCAACCCTCAAAATCTATGTTAGGGTTGGGCGTCTTGAAATTAATGTTTGGCGGTATCTTGCCGTGCTCCAGGGCGAGAACTGCCTTGATCAGGCCTGCTACACCAGCGGCGCCCTCGAGGTGACCGATGTTTGGTTTTACGGAACCAACAACAACAGGATTGTCTACATGGCGAGTAGAGGCGATCGTCTCGGAGATGGCTTTGAGCTCCCTCCAGTCTCCAGCCTGGGTACCTGTCCCATGACACTCGACGTAACCCGTCTGATCGAAGTCGAAGCCCATTGATTTGTACAAGGCACTGATGTTTGAGACTTGGGCCTCCTTGCTCGGAAGGGTGATTCCTTGTATCGCAGTTAGGCATGGTATATTCGATTGAATCGTGTATCAAGTGAAAGGCATTGTATATGCTTACCGGTTGTGCGTCCATCCTGGTTCAATCTGCTGCCCCGGATAACAGCTCGGATCGGGTCGTTGTCCCGAAGAGCATCGGAGAGCCTCTTCATGACTACGACACCGATACCCTCGCCTCTTCCGTAGCCGTTGGCGCGGGAGTCAAAGGTGAAGCACTTCCCATCAGGACTGAGGAAGTTCAAAGCTGTCATAGGCATGATTGTGTTTGGGGTTAAGATCATCCCTGCTCCTGCAGCAATCGCCTAGAGATCAATGTCAGAGAGGGTCGTGAAAGGCAGTTCATCCATATAGATAGCGCATACCATAGAAACTTCGCCATTACGCAAGTTCTGTGCTGCGAGGTGAACAGCAACGAGGCTGGCGCTGCATCCAGTATCGAGAGTCACACTGGGACCATGAAAGTTGAATGCATAGGATATCCGGTTTGCCATAATGGCAATTCCGTTGCCGGTGGCCGCATACTGTGGTTGCCAGTCCGGATCCCGAAGGCAGATTTGTTCATAGTCTAGCAGGAAGGAGTGTATGATTAGTTTGGATGAAAGCCTATTGTGAGGTCTGTGTAATGTGTCTGCGTAACAGCCTTCACCCTACCCTTGACGAACGATCCTACATAGACAGCCGTGTCATTGTCATCGACCTGCTCCTTTCGAATCCCGGCTGCATCTCTCAAAATTAGTCCATCAATCTTGCCACCACGTCGTTTGGAGCTCCACACACCATTCTCTAGGGCCTCGTATGTGGCCTCGAGGAGGATACGCTGCTGGGGGTCTACGGCCCTGGCCTCGTCGGCGGTCATGGCGAAGAACTTGGCAACAAGTTAGTGCTGGGATACATGCTGCGACATTGCATAGTATGCATGCGTAGAGATCTGGCAACTTGCAGGTGCATCAAAGGTGGAGATGTCTCCGTCGATGAAATGGCCGCCACGGAAGGATATCTATGTGTTTGAACATCAGCAACTAGAACCAGAGATACATATCCTCGTCTTGGGGTTGAACTCACACTCCCTTGACGATCCCCTCCTGGGTGGTAGTAGCCATCAATATTGATACGATCCTCGGGTATCTCAGACCATTGCGACTGCCCTGTCTCGAGGACCTTCCACAGCTTCACGGGGGAGTTTGCCTCTCCAGGGAAGCGTAGGCCAATGCCCACTATAGCAACGTCGTCATCCATGACGGTAGCTCTTCGAGTCCGAAGACCCGTTCAAGAAAGCAGCTGTTAGGTGGAGTGACTGCCTAGAAGTTTGGCGATAACTAGAAGCGAAAGCAATACTTGGGAGAAGGCTAAATTGTGTAGAGAGGATGGTTCGAAAGAGGACAGGTAGGGATAGAAGAGGGCGAAGAGTGAACCGGGATGGAATAGAAATACCTTCTCAGATGGAAACATCTCTCGGGATGAAATCAGTCAGCACAGCACCAAGGACACATTAGCCGCAAAGCGCGTAAATCGCCAATGGTCTACTAGGTAGCCCTGGAGAGGGTGAGAGAGATATGAGTTGCTCCCGAGCCACATTGACTGCCACGAGCAGTGGGTGACATGTACCACCCATGTTGGCCAGCTGTCGAGCGTGAGAAGCGGTCGAGGCTGGCCCATGGCCGATCTGGAAGTGAATAAGGTCACAAGTGTCTTCTTCTACCCCTCCACGTCACTGCCATTCTAATATGCATCTCTCGGTAGGTAATAATATCGAGCTTCGAATGATACGATAGGGAAAAGGAGGGCCTGGCTTCTCTACGGGAATGCCATAGAGTCAGCAACATCCGATAGTCTGAGCGATCGGATCTCTTCTCTCCCTGTTCACAGCTTCTCATGAGAGAATAGTGGGGGACCGCTTATACGAACAGCCGCGGCGTGGTGACAACGGAAAACCACTCAGCTATGCCACTGCACATTTTGTGTAGTGGTGGTCAGATGGGACTCACCTTGAATTACTGTTGGTGTTTGCTACGCCGCAATGGCGCAAACTGTCAATCGAGGACTCGCCACATTTTACCCTTAGTCTGAATTTTGTGAAAGTAATTTCTGAACGGGGCTGTGTTGATGGGTGGACAATCTTCAGGCGAGCAGCACAGATCAAACGCATGTGTTGAGGTGATTCCGATACGCGGGTGGCCATTATATTAGTTTCCCGAAATTCCTAAGTGCTGGCCCGGTGTCTTAGACAACCAATCAGCTAACAGCCAATAAGCCTTCGGGAAGTGAATGCTGTGTCAGTCTTCCTATATACATGCATTGCTCCATTTGGCTGCTTTTTGTTGTATGGTTTAGCGTGTGTCCGGTATGTGATGGTCGTTGTTCGGGTGGCTGATGTGATGTTCACGGCGGCAAATGTTGGTAGATCGTGGTTCAAACGGTGTACGTTTGCTATCTTCAACGGCCCGTTGGAGCTTGTCTCCACAGTGGAAAAGCTCGCCCATCCAACCCAGGCTCAACATCCCACAGCGTAGTTGATCGTTTGTTTCTCGGGGCATGCTAGAGTAGAGAATCTGTTCTTTCGCCGGGCTGTCATTTCTCAACGATGTATCACCACTTGGTGGTTCTCGGTGTTTCTTGCGGGTTTGCTGCCGTCAGAATGGGCCAGGCTTGATGTGTCATGTCGACGGCCGGATGGATACAGCTTTTTTCTGGTCTGGTGCGTTCATGATCCTGTTATTCTAGCGTGGCCGGGCCATGAGCACCATAGACAGGATCGCGTTTGAACCACGGCAGGCTTGCGATTCCATCAATCTTCGATTTCTCGCTGGGGTTGCCGTAGCACATGTCCCACTGCTGGTTCCCGACCGGGTAGCACCCGACCATCTGGAACGCGCCGCCGCCTTCCTCTCGCAGCAATCGGTGACCGACACCAGCAGGGACCACGATGACGTCCCCGGGGCTGACGTCAACCTCAACGCGCCCGTCATTTTCTTCGCCACCAAAGCACAGACGGGCACGGCCGGCACTGACACACAGGACTTCGTGTGTGGTGCTGTGGAAGTGTGTAGTGCTGTACATGCTGTACTGCCACTGTGGCTCGACAACTCCCAGGGAACGGAGATGCGACTCGATTTTCTCAGCCGACGGTGAACCGGCAAAGGCGGAGTGGTAAATGAGGAGCGGCTTGTCCTGGAGGGACGTGTTAGGGATGAGACCGTGGGCGGGGATCAAGTGGCGCGATACCCGTAAGGATGAGAGGGGTGTGACAGAAGCATCGCTGAGGGCGGGCATGGTAGACGGCAACCGATGAGGATTGTCTACAAGTCACGGATGATGCTTTTTCTAATGACTGTGCTTCTGTAGCAATTGCTATGATGATTATGGGAAGGAAGAAGAAGGAGGGGTTCAAAAAAAAAAGATGACACGATATCTCCGTTGGTCGTGGAAGGTACAAAAATCAAGGCAAGAGCCATGTCGCTCTTTCCCGACGTGAAGATGTATGAAGTCATACCGAGATAAAATGGAGCCAGTAATCTAATCAATACTCGTATATGCGCATACCGTATTATTACATTCCGTCTACAACCATTGGAAAAGGACTTAGGTGATAACATCTGCAGTACTGTGTCACGAAGATGGTCTGAATATGGCACTTGGGATCATGTAAATAAAAATACGAATAGTCTAGTCATGAAGGGTTGTGCAGTGGCCGAAAAAGGCGGCCCCGATCGTCATAGTGCGCTCTGTATCTAAAAGTACCATTTATCCCCTCCCGGTCCCTTCCCTCCCTCTACATGTTGCTCTACCGACAGTTCATCTTCAAACTGTGCAACGGAGATTCATTTCAAAACTTCACGCCCCGGTACTGGCCACCTTGCGTTCCCACGACTGACGAATGGCATGCCAATACTGCCTTGTGTGCTTACGCATGTGTCCAACGTGGCCGGTTCCCTCAAAGACGCAAGCGTCGGTCTGCCACCCGGCCGCCTTGTTCTCGGCAATGTTCTCCTCGATGTCGGTCCAGGAGATGAGGTCGTCCTCCTTGCTATAGAGGTAGAGCTTCCGGGTGGACGGGGTGACGAGTTCGGGGTCGCGGGTGGCCTCGCTGGCCCAGGAGCCGGAGCTCTGGGTTCCACGGATGTTGGCGACAGTGCCGCTGACGAAGAGGAAGACGCCGGAGATGGACTGGATGACGACGAAGGGGAGGGGCACGACGGCGGACAGGCCCAGGGCCATGGCGCGCGACCAGCGCAGGAGGTTGAACCACGTCATCCTGGGACTTCCAGGCGTGGAGTCGAGGACGAGCAGGTCGTGCGGCATCGGCTGGCCGTACATGTCGGTGTAGGCCCTCAGCGTGGACGCGTAGTTTATGGCGCCCGTGTTGGACATGATATGCACGGCCACCGACCTGGGCGCGCTCTCGGCCCTCGGCCCGTCCGGGAACAGCGCCCTCACCACGGGGATCATGGTGAGGGCGCGCGCGTCGTGCTCGCTGAACATGGCCTTGGAGATGGGCGACAGGACGAGGATCTGCCGTGCGCGCGGGAACAGGGCCGCATACCCGTCCGCATATTTGGCCACGTGTTTGGGTATCCCATCGCCCCAGCCGTACAGCACTAGGACGTCGGGCTGGGAGTCCTCGGCGCCCTCGCCGTCCGGTGACTCGGTGGCCGGCCCGGCTCCGCGCACGAATATCTGGTCTGTCACCGGCGCGAATCCAGGGACCTGAGGCTGCCTGGGCTTTGACGACGACGACGACGACGACGTGCGCGATCCGCCCAGACTCTGACGCAGCCTGAGCACGGCAAAGAAGGCGAGGAGGAGCGCGCCGCCGGCTGCGGAGGATCGCACGAGCGGTGACGGCGGCAGACCAACCCTGTCGGCGACTGAGTTGAGCCGTGCGACCTGCGTAGCGACAAGAGTTCCGGTCATTTCTATCGTGATGATGATGAAGATGACTGAGGAAAAAGCGAGAGGGAAGAAGAAAAGCTGAGGGATGTGGAAGGGGCTGATAAGTGGCCACGTCTTAGCGGCAGGATCGACAGGGTCCAACTCTCCGACGCAAGAATCTGAGTCGGGTTTCGTTCTTATGGCCGAAAAGCTGTGCAATGAGATTCTTCCCGTGCAGAGTGTTGGAATAAAAGCAAGTCGAATCACTTATAGTTATCCTGACATGGTGACGCTGACAAAAAAACAAAAAAAAAAAAGAGCCTCGGCGCTTTCGAAGATGACGGACGATTCCCTACAAATGTACTCGTATGTGGTGGTACTATCTTCCTTGTTTGTTGGGGCCAACATGTCAATCCGAGCACCTCGCATCGGACTTCGACCACTTTTTCTCACTGGAGAGAAATTCGACTGACCCGCTAAGTCGCATGTTTTCCAGGCACGCTCCATTGTATAATACCAGTCTCTTGTGGTGGGCAGTTCGGACTGCGGCGCCCGCCTTGTTTAAGCAATTGCTCCGGCTCCGAGCCACCGAGTGGGTCCAGTTGGGAGATGCCGAGGCACAACCACCTGGTCGGGATTCATCCATGCGGGAACCATGAATGTATGAATATCAATACCTATACGTGCTGTGACTCGTGAGGGATACCAGTACTCTAGTGGTTACCGAGAATTCTTATTTGGTTGTGGGACGTACATATAGATATATGCACATGGTACCCGTACATGTAGATTCTTCAGGTACGTACATGGGACCTTCTTGGCCCTAGTCTCGTCTGATTTTTTAACCTTGTCAGCTCCAATTCCGACTTCCCCTCCTCCGTCGGTGGTGGGGTAATCATCCGATTGATATCTTGCCGTAGAGATCTACAAGGCAAAGGCCATGTCAGAATATGCCCACCGTCAAAACCGTACGTCTGACCGGCCAACCAGCATAAATGTCTAGGTGTGCTCCTTGAAGGGGAAAGCAGAGTGAAGATGGCGATCCATGGATAGGATCATGCCCTTCCATGTATCATTACATCTCACGCCCTCAACCCCGACAAAGGCCGGCAAGGTCCTCCTCGTTGGGACGGCATATCCGGACATGTTTACGGTGACACCTTGGCACATTCACAACAGAACGCAATAAGCCGAATCTCTTGGATTCTCGGATTCTATGAGATGTATGCACTTTGCATCTACGTACCTGGATATTATGGATGTTTTGCTTGATACGTCTCTCAACTACTCTAGCAAGTCCCTACCAGTGGCAGTATATGAATAACTGCTATGACTACTGCTCTGATTGCTTCTCCGACTAGCACTGCCCTGCGAAGATGTATAACAACGTATGGTTAGGTAAATAGAAATGTAGGAGACTTACAAGACAAAATCGTGTTGTTGCGTTGGGTTGCAAATGTGCGCCGAGGTGCCACTCACCGTACATAGTGTAATATGATAATAAATGTGGGCAAAGCCGCTTGGCGATAGGCAATCGAAGAGATAGATCAAAACAGCATTATCACACAACACACACAACGCACATCTACATCAACATATACCTCGTCTCACCAGCAAACCTCACCACCTCTTTTTTACAAAACACAAAGACCATGACTCGCCTCACCGACTTTGACCTCCTGTCATTCGACGTCTACGGCACGCTCATAGACTGGGAGACGGGCGTGATTTCCGCGCTGCAGCCGATGCTGGCCTCCAACGGTGCCGCCGACAGGTTCACCCGCCGCGAGCTCCTGGAAGCCTACTCCTCGTGCGAGAAGGCCCAGCAGACGGCCACCCCGGACGCCCCCTACTCGGAGGTGGTGTCCAAGTGCCTGGCCCCGACGGCGTCGAGACTCGGCCTGACGGCGGCGCCCCCGACGGCCGAGCAGGCCGCCGCCTTTGGCGCCAGCGTGGGCGACTGGCCCGCCTTCCCGGACTCGGTCGAGGCCCTGGGCCGTCTGAAGAGGCACTTCCGCCTCGCGGTGCTGTCCAACGTCGACCACGCCTCCTTCGCTCGCAGCAACGCCGGGCCCCTCCAGGGGTTCCCCTTCGACGCCGTCATCACCGCCCAGGACGTCGGCACCTACAAGCCCGACCTGCGCAACTTCGACTACATGCTGCGCGAGGTGGGCGACCGCTTCGGCGTGCCCAAGGAACGCGTCCTGCAGACGGCACAGAGCCAGTTCCACGACCACAGACCCGCCAGGGCCCTCGGCATCCGCTCCTCGTGGATCGTCCGCCCCGGCGCCGTCATGGGTAACCTCGACGACGTCGTCTACGACTGGAAGTATGACACCCTCAGGGATATGGCTGATGCCGTGGACGCCGAGGTAGCTGCCAAGTAGTCCACGGTATATTTCGACATGAATGAAATGGACATAGCCGTTTTGATCCCTTCTGCCCTCACATGAAATTGTCTTCCCATCTCGTCGTCACGTCCAGCCCCATTCCGTTATCGGTGCGGGGGGAGAGGGGAAGCACTAACCATTATACGTGCATGCGCGTAGAATAACAATACATCTAACAGAACCAAAGTGTTCTTCTTTCTCTTATCTTTTCATCCTTTTGCTTTCCGTTGTTTTTTCTTCCTATCGTTCTTTTCAACTGTTTCTATTTCCAACTGTAATCATGCGAATGCCGTGCGATGTGAACAAATCCCCCAGCCCCCCTACCATGACCATAGATTTGAAATACACCATCAACACCTCCTCACAGAAGATGTGCTCCTCGACGAGAACCTTGACGACGCTGTGATAGACAAACTCGTCCTCGTAGTACTTCAAGCCCTCCCTGCTAGGAAAAAAAATCAGTCTTCGCCACTAGATTGTAATTCTGGATGAGGGGATTGTCTTCGACAGGTCCAACCGTGAGGTGAAACAACTGAGATGTTTCCGTCATACGGCGTAGTCTTTGCTCTCTCTCTCTCTCTCTCTCTCTCTCTCTCTCTCTCTCTCTCTCTCTTCGTGTGTGTGTGTGTGTGTTCAAGGGGGAAAAAATCATAGACACAGACATCAAGATGCTCATCACTTTATCATCAGAAGCCTCTTCCCATCTTCGTCCTTGAACATGGTGACGCCGTCTGTATCTTCAGCCACGGTCTCTATCTTGATGCAGTAATGGGTGTGAAAATGAATCCGGGACGATCTGATATCTCTCCTAGTCGCAGCAGTCCTTTTTGGCTTGGCCTGTTTCCCTTCTACACATGATATATACTCCTCTTTCAATCTTATTCTAATCAGTCATCAACTTTTGAATGCTTCTAATTCTTCTTCTTTACACATCTCATGATCCATGAATGCAATGTGTCTACTCTTTACATGTTACATGGTGAATGGTGTCCCAATTTCTGATCTTCTTTCTTCCTCCTCTCTGTTGACTCTCTGACAGAATGTTTTTCCTCTCACCGAATAATGACAAGACGCTTTCTCCTATTAACTCCATGAGATACCGTGTATAAAGCAAGAAGCAAAAAATGTGCTAAAAAGAAAAACGCCATGTATATACCTAGAAGCATATGTTCCACCCCGATATAACAAGAGAAAGAAAGAGACAAAGGGTAAAAATATTTTTATATAAAAAAAGGGAGAAAAGGGAGAAAAGGAAGAAAGAAAAAGTGTATAGGCAATTCAAAAGGAGAGCAAGGACCCCTTTTGAAAGAGCCTCAGAATCCCTGCTCTTTGAGCCTCCTGGTAACAGTCTGCATCTTGTCAATCAGCTCTGGGATCCTGTACGGTTTGACCAGCACGTCGTCGCACCCCGCCAGCTTGGCCTCAGACACCTGCTCTGGCCTGGCGTTTGCCGTGACGGCGATGATCGGCAGCCGGCCGCCCGAGGCGCAGAACACGGCACCATGGGCCTCCAGGTTGCGTATCTGCCGCGTGCACGTCAGCCCGTCCTGCACCGGCATCTCCACGTCCATGAGGACCAGGTTGATGGGGACGGGGTCCTTGTGCTCCGCTGACGATGACGTGCTGCTTTTCCTCTCGTCGTCGTCGTCTTCGCCTTCTGCGGACGGTGTAGATGATGCATCTGCTGCGTCTTGCGTCGTTGCGATTCTGCGTTCCGGATGATGCTGCTCTCCGTTCGCATCTGAAGTGCCATCTATGGTGACGGTGGAGGTTGCGGTGGCGGTAGCTGTAGTCGGCCTCTGAAGCTTCTCTAGAGCTTCGATGCCGTGATTCGCCACGTCGACTGCGTACCCTCTCCCTGCGAGACCTCGACGCGTAATGTGCTGGTTGATCAAGTTGTCCTCTACGATGAGGATGCCGTCCACGCGCGGAACAGCAGGGTACCCCCCCGACCTGGTTCCGTCGGCCGAGCCGTCCATTGACAGCCGCCCGTTTGCTGACGTCGGCGATGACGGGTGGCTTCCCGGGCCGCCCGGACTGCCTGAGCCGCCGCCGTGCAGGCCGTTGTGCACCTGCAGGGCCGCCTGGGCGGCCTCCTCGGCCTCGACGCGCGCCCGGTCGCTGGGCACGTACGCGCCAATGTAAAAGGCAAACGTCGACCCGACGCCCTGCTGGCTGGACACGCCGATGGCGCCGTGCTGGAGCTCTGTGAGGCGTCGCGAGATGAAGAGGCCCAGTCCGGACCCCCCGTACTTGACGTGCGTCTTGGCGCTCGCCTGCACGAACTTGTTGAACAGGCTGCCCTTCTCCTCTGGGCTGAGCCCCTGACCCGTGTCCGTCACCTCGAAGAGGAGGTACACCGGGTCCTTGCGGTCCTTGAGAGCCGGCTGCTCGTACTCGTCGGCCAGGTCCATGAAGCGGGGGATGAAGTCGACGGCCGCCAGGTCTCGCCCGGGCGGGTGTCGGGACCCCTTGATGCTGATGCCCACGTTGCGCACCTTGCCCGACTTTGTGAACTTGAGCGCGTTGGTCAGCAGGTTGATGAGCACCTGCTTGACGCGCGACGGGTCGAAGTCGAGGTACTCGTGCCCGAGGGCCGTGTACGACTCGTCCACCTCCCAGGTGAGCGCGATGTCCACCCGCCGCGCCTCCACCTCGAACATCTTGAGCGCGTCCTGCACGATGGTGATGGGGTTCACCGTGCAGGGTGTCACGGCCAGCAGCTTCGAATCCAGCTTCGACATGGTCAGGATGTCGTCCACTATGCGCTTCTGGTGCTGAGCGCACGTCTCAATCGTCTCGGCATGGTCGATGGCGTCGCGGATGAGCTTGCGCGCCGCCAGCCGGGTCCGACGCAGTTCCAGGAGCTCGTCGGACATCGACTGCCACCGCGTCTGCGGCGTCTCCGGTCGCTCCGTCCCCGACCCTGCTGCTAGCTCTGTCAGGGGCATCGGTGCCTTGGGTCGTATGCCCGTCGACGCCATGTCGCCAATCATGGACAGCGATGCAATGATTGCGTCGGTGCAGTGGATGATGGCGCTGAGGGGGTTGCGCATCTCGTGCGACGTCATGTCGATGAAGTTCTCCTGCTGGCGCTTCGATTCGATGGCCTCCTCCTTGCGCCTCCTCTCGCGCTCGAGCTGCCACTTCTGCAGTGATACGTCGCTGATGCAGCCCGTGAACGACTGCAGCACGCCATCGGAGCTCGTCACCGGCATAAAGGTGGCCAGCACGGAGCGGGCGGCAGCGATGGTGTTGCCCGCCGAGTCTTCGGCCGTCCACGTCGTCTTGAGCCTGATCTCGGCGCTCTGGGGCTTCCGCGTCTGCTTCAGCTCCTCTAGCTTGGCGAGCAGCATGGGAAGGTCCTCCTCGACGACACTCGTCTGGAAGGGCTCGACAATGGCCGTCGTCAGGTCCACCTTGTCCAGGCCGCTCAGGTCCCAGAAAGATTTGTTGGCGCTCAGCACCCGCCCGTCTAGGCTGATGTCGTACATGCCCACCGTGGCGAACTCGGCCAGACGCTTCAGATTCTCCGCCTCCTGCGCGCGCCTGACAGCCTCCTCGGCCGTGTCCTTCTGTTTCGTCACATCCATGAGGCAGGTGAGCATCCTCGCGATGCTGCCGTCGGTCTCACGCTCTGCCTTGGACGACGCCAGTATGTGCCGCCCCACGCGCGGGTCGTAGGCGGTGCCGGATCCGGGCACGGACGACCGCGCGGCGCGGCCATCACCCTCTATGTTCTCTCTGGGGATGCGGAACTCGAACGTCACGACGTCCTGGACCTTGAGCTTCTCGTAGGCCTCCTGGACCTTGGGCTTGTCCTCGGGGAGGACGCACTCGAGCAGGGCGAGCTGGTCGATGCGGCTCATGGGGTAACCGGTCAGGCGGTACCAGGCGTCGTTGGCAAACGTCACGTTGCCCTGGTTATCGATGAAAGACATGCCCACGGGGATGAACTCGGCGACAGCCTTGAAGTTCTGGATCGACTGGTTGGCCTGCTCCGTCTGGAAGGCGAGCTTCTTCTGCAGCATGGCCGTGTCGTACTCGGCCTGGGCGGCGGCGTTGCGGCCCCGGCGGGCCTCCTCCTCGAGGAGGACTGTCGAGGCGAGCGAGCTCGTGAGCTTCTGGTTCAGGAGCGAGATGAACTGCCTGTAGTCGTTGTCGTACGGGCGGCGGGGGTTCAGGCCGAGGAAGAGGACGCCCATGATGTTCTCGTCTTTGGTGGGGCGGATGGGCAGGATGACGGCCGCCTGGCACGGGTCGCCGAACCCGCGCCACTGTAGACCGCCAAAGAGCTCCTCGGGCAGGCCGCCGTCCTTTGTCTGGATGAGGAGGGCCACCTGGGTCTTGAGGGCCTCACGGAACCTGGATGCCAGCCCCTGGTCCGTGTCTCCGAGGTCGAGCGTGGGCGGCGCAAGCGGGTGGTTCGGGGGGACGCCCAGGGAGCCAGCCAGGCGGCAGGTCCTGGGGCAGTCGTACCGGGACCCGCTGGAAGCGGTGTCGTCGTCCTCGTTGACCGAGTATATGAAGGCGAGCGGCACGTCGTACGAGGGGCTCCACCGCTCGAGCTGCTGGAGGATCATGGTCCAGTACGAGTTGACGTCGCGGGCGGTGATGAGGTTATCGCCGAGGTCGACGAGCATCTTCATCCTCCTCTCCCAGAGGCGCATCGAGGTGGTGTCCAGGAGGGAGTGCGTCATGCCGACGCACTTGCGGTTCTCGACGATGGGACTGAGAGACCAGCGGATGTAGGTCTCCTCGCAGGTGCCGTCGGCCTTTTGAACAAAGAACCTGGACTCGTCCTCGATCTTCTTAGGGCGCAGGTGCGGCGGCGCCCGCCACAGGGTATCGAGGCTCTCCTCGAGCTGCGGCCACGCCTTGAGGACGGACTCGCCCAGCAGACCCGGATGGTTGGAGCCGCAGATCCTGGAGAAGGACTCGTTGTATATGGCCCGGTACTCGGGCCCCCAGTAGATGGCAATGGCTCTCGAGTCGGGGATGGTCTGGTTGAAGGCCTGGTGCAGACGCACCGGCCAGTCGTCGATGGGGCCGAGCGCATGCTCCTCCCAGTTGACGCTCTGTATGACGTGGAGGAAGGGCTCGGTGTCGGTGCCGAAGTCGGGCAGCATGAGGCCCGGGTCCGGTTCGACGTGGAACTTCTCGTCGTCTGCGTCGGTAGGCTTCTCGGAGGCATGGTTCTCGTCAGCCGCCCCCGGGTGGAGAGAGTCGGCGGCTATGCCAACCTCGTAGATGGCCTCGAGGCTCCTGTTCCTCCTGGGCGGCTCGGTGGGCGGCGGTGTGTCGTTTGCGTTGACGACGGCCCAGAGACCCCGGATGATGCTCCTGGTCCACCAGACGCCCAGGTAGGACAGGCGGTCGCCGGGGCCGTGGATCACATGGTCTGGGTCCTTTGGGGTGGTGACCCAGGTCCAGAAGGGCGCGTGAGTCTCGTGGTGCGGAATCTGCAGGATGCTAGCCAGAAGGGTGGTGTCGATCTCGAGGGCGACGTTTCTGTATGCTATGTCGCGGGCAGGCGACCCCCCAGGTGGAGAGAGGGCAGCGATAAAGGTAGGTCGCGGATCGCAGTCGACAAGCTGGACGAGGCCTATACCATGGATCGAAGAGTCCATGCTCGGGCTCGGCGGTATCAGGCACTCGGTGGGGGGTGGGAGGAGCCGATCTTAGCAGAGAGAGTAAGACGTCAGCCGTCCATGGGGCCAGATAGGGGAGGGCTTCTGTTGCCAGCTGCTAGGCGCTCTATCTGCTTGTTTGCTTGTTTGTTTTTTTCCTCAGTCTTTGTACCCTAGTGAATGTTGCCATCCACGTATACCTGACTTGGGGGGACTAATGTAAGAGAACTGAAGCGACTGGGAGCGTGGTTGCGAGTTGAAGGGAAGAGGCGGGGGGGGGGGGGGGGGGGTGCCTGTTTTCGACCGTTAAGGGACGTTGAATGGCGGAGGCGTAGGACGGGCGTAAGTGGGCTTACGGGATATTAATTGGAAATGCCCCACGGAAATGCCCCATGAAAGTGCCCCATGGAAATGTTCCGTGGAAATGTTCCGTGGAAATGTCCCGTGGACCCATTTGGCAATGAATGCGATGAACGGAATTCGCTCCAGACTGCACGGGATTCTGGAGCGGATCACGGGCCTGCTAACGCGGGCGCTAGCGGGTGGTTAGGGTGGGCGTTCAGTGTCTGCGATATCATAGAGAAGTTATAGTGAGCATAAGCCTGTGAGCAGCTATGATACAGCCACCGTAGATGTCCACGGGCGAGTGCCCAGCTTGGGCAGCCACCTATGGATGGCTAGATACCGGACGGGATTGTCCTCTGGGGTAGGAGCTGGGACGGGAAGTTGGTCACGGGAGGGTTCAATAGGGAATATCCCCCATACTTCGTACTAATAGTGGTGTAGTAATAATGATATTACTACAGATTACACAGCGTGGAATGATATTAGTACTGCGGAGTAATAATTCTTCGAGTAATATTAGTATCGATACTCCGTACTCGGTACGAAAACACTGTACGGCCCAGTATTGACGCACAGCAACGTCAACTGCCACTACCACCCGACCGTACTGCTACTTCGTATGCCAGAGTAGCTGAGATATAATTACCAATTATCTGTTAAGCTTCGGATCTAATGTCGCCAGTTCCGGTAATAGCAATCGCGCAACCCTTTTTTCCATAGATCCAATAAGCTTGGTATCGAGATTTGCCCACATGGGGATCGAGCCTTCGAGGCCAAGCTGCATCGAACCGCTAACAAACTCATTCCCTGGTATTGGCCCTTCTATTTTCCTTGGCTGTCTCCGGCTCGCTTACTCGGCATCGAAAACAAGAAAAAAGGAAGAATGAGAGGGAGAATAGAGAGGCTTAACGGGTGACAGATCCCTTCCCGTCGTTCCCTTTCCATCTGCCTGCATATGCCGGCATGCATGCGACGTCGTGACCCGCCACCTTGACTGGAGAAGGGCGGCACGGTCCTGTTGGACTTGGCCCCATTCTGCACCTGTTGTTATATCGTTTCGGAATACTCTTTCTAGTAGTAGACGTACTCTTCGCTAAGTACTTGCCCAATCACCAGGACTTGTCACCCTTCACCCTTCTCCGTTTAATAGAATACATGCAGTACATCCGTATCCGACTGACCCATCCATCCCTCACTCCGCCACCATCAAGCTCATATAGGTCCCCCAGGCAATCCCCGCCAGCCCGCCAACCAGGTTCCTGGCCTCGACGGTCCTGACCATGGTAAAGTTGATGAGCGACACGGCCGGCCACATCTTCCACCCAGCCACCAAGGTGGGCCAGAGCTCGGCCAGCGACGTCTCCCACACGCCTCCCCAGTCGACGCGCCCAAAGTCGATAGCCCCGGGGCTGTTCCAGAACCCGAGCGCCTTGATGATGCTTGTCTCGCGCGGCGCGTCCACCAGCGCCTCCCGCATGGATCGGTGAAACGTGCTGAAGAGGAGCGCGTTGAACAGCGCTCCAGCTGTCTGGTCCAGAATCAGCTTGATGCCCGTGTTGACCACCGACAGCTTGGGTTCGGTCTTGGCCTCGGAGTTGGTCGTCTTCTTCTTTCCCTTCTTGGTCTTGTCCCCGCCAGACTCCTCCTCCTTCTTCTTGTCTTCGCCTGACGACGACGACGACTTCTCATCTGGGTATGAAGGGAATGTCGTCTCCAACCAGTCTTGCCTATACACACACACACACACACACACACACAACATCATTAGATAGGCTCTTCATATCCACCCTTTGCTTTCAACTGGTTATCTCAGACTTACCATAGATAGTTGGGCGGCGTGCTAAACATGGCAAAAAGCACAAACTGGAATACGGGCACCCAGTCGATCTCTAGTCCAGCCTGATCATATCACGTCCATCGTCAGTCCGGTCAGCTCTCACAACTCAGAGTGGAAGAGGAAAAAGCAGATGGCCTTGTGCGAGGGGGTAGATTGGGCACTAGCCGTAATAGAACATACCCCTTGCCTGTTCGACTGGATGTACTGAGCCGCCACATTGGAAACGACACTGAGCAGCGCCGCTTGGAGCGTAGTCTCTACGATCGGAGGAGACATGCTTGAAACTTTTTATAAAGTCTCTATTTTCAATCTTTCTTGTTGAGAGCCGGCGTCGTGCACTCTTACAACACGAGATATGACCTTATCAACCGGTAAGAATGGACTGATCTCTCAAGGACACGTTGTCGATGTCGCCTTTTTTTTTTTTGCCCCCTCCCCGATCAGGAAACTAGAGAGTCGAAGTGAGAGGCCAGATAAGAGCATGTATTTGGTCCCTGATTATAACACTTCTGAGAAGAGGAAAAAGTGCGATGGGAAGAGATTGTCGCAGAGAATCGCTGTCAGGGAACAACAGGAGGATGATGATGCTTTGATGCTTTCGAGGGGGGGAGAAGCTCCCATGTCGTCACTCCAACAGAAAAGGTACAGTCGGGAGCAAACGCCCCGCCAGTCATTCACCAAGGATTCCCAACCAAGAAACTCCACAGCCCAACGAGCAGCCAAGCAAAAAAGCAGATCACCAGACACAATAATGCACGTCCCGGTACTGCATGTACTGCTTGGTATACAAAACATAGCAGGACGATTAATCAATTGCAATCATTTGCATCATCTTCTTCCCTTATTAATGCCCACTTTATACATTCCGGGTCATCAACATATGCCCTGTTTTCTCTTGCTAATACCCGCCACCCTTTTCCAAAGCTTCTACAAGAAGCTTCATCCATGTTGTCTATCCGTACAGTTAAAATCAATGCCCGTAATCCCCGCATAGCGCCAAAAAGTTGACAAAGTGTTAGTGTTCTCCTTCCGTCTGTATAAGCACCCGGCAGTCCTATACTTCCAGGCCGTCCGCCATGCTATCGAGACGAGCATATTCTCTATCCTACGCGGTGCCCCTCGTCGAGACGCTTAGAGGTCTTCCCCCGCTAGGGCCGTTGAAAGTCTTTTCCGCTCCCTTCCTCTCTTCACGTCCGGGTAAGGACCCACATGAAGAAGAGCTGCACGATGTAAGAGTAGAAGAAGAGGAACTGAGTCCTCTGGTTGCGCTTGGCGCGCGAATCTGTCTGCATAGGACCGCCGGTGGCACCAGGAGTCTCGGGGAGGAGGACGTATTTCAGAGAACGGAGCTGCATGGCCAGGGTCAGTAACAGGGAGGAGGCTAGGGGTAGAGAGTACATCGCGGGAGAAGACAGCGTACCAGGAATAGAGAGTTGGCCAGAAAGGTATAGGCAAAGATGAGCCATCCGACCCAGCCGCCAGTGCCCTTGCCGGCGTTGAAGGTCTGGGCCACGGCAATTGTGACAATGATGCCGACAAACTTGTAGCCAGAGTAGGCAATCAGGTCAAAGAGCTGCGACTGGCTCGAGATGCTGAGAAGGTAGCACCCCAGCTTGAGGGCCACAATCTCGACGACGACGACAATCATGCTCGTAGTAGCCGTCACACCCAGAAGCTCAGGCCTGAATGCGCCCTTGAGACCGGCGATGAGGGTCGAGAGAAGTACATATGTGACCAGACCCATGACTGCGATCCGGTTCGGTTAGCATCCCAACACATGGAGTCATCGTCTTCTTCCGTCGTTCCTCTTACCTGGTATGTACATGTCAGGGCTGTTTATGTCGTCACGCGGCGGCAGATACCATCCTTCCTGCCCGTTCACCCCGACGGCCTGCTTCCGCGACCAACCCTTGTGCCTCCATGGGAAGAGGACGAGGATGAGCTTATTGATGACGTACGAGTTGGAGACGTTGAAGTAGTGTTTTAGGGCCGAGACGCTGACGTATTGACCGAACTGGAACAAGAGCATCATTAGAATCTCTTTTTCCTTCTTCAATATGCTTGCCATCACGTCCCAGAATGCGTACTCACGTTCTGCTCCATGTACTCCTGGCCCTGCTTGAAAGCAGTCTGTCCAAAATGCGCCGCCACCTGCGCGGTCGGGTCGTTTATAAATTGTCCGTACTGCCCGAACATGTTTGCGCCGGGCTGGCCCTGCTGCTGGTAAGGGTTCCCCGCCGAGGCAGAAGATGCAGCACCGCCGCCGTAGCCCTGGTGCGATTGCGCGGATCCCGGCGGCGGTGGCGGCGACCGGAGTTGAGGCACGGTCGAGACATGCTGTGGGACGGGATGGTGTAGGGGGGGAGACGGGCCGTACGTGTTTCGTTGCATCGTCAAAGGCCGTCGGGGAGGTGGTTATCGAGGACGGAGAGTGTAGGAGACGGGGCGAACGGTGGGTCGGAGTGTGGTCGATGCAAAGGGGACAGGACGAGCTGGATATGCGTGTGGCGGAGGGGGTTGGACGGGTCGTTGAAAAAGAGAGCACTCCCGGAGAGTTGCGATCTAGAGATGTGGTCTACTTCTCGCGCGCGCGTAGGAGCTGCAACAATCAGCTGGGCTGTACGGAGTACTCCGTAGTAATATTACAGTTGGTGGCCTAGTATTATTACTCCGTACAGAGCCACGGGCCACTGAGAGAAAGCCACCTGGAGAGACATCAGCCACCGTGGAGGGGCCTCCAGGGGTGAGCTGGTAGCAAACCCCACTGGAGCTTCTCTGCACGTGACAGGCGCGGAGACCGAACCCTCGCAACGCCCTATCGATAAGGCGATCGTTCCCGCCACGAGTCCGATTCACCACCATCTCTGCTAGACGAGGAAGGAAGGAGGACCCTTTGGGGGAATTATTAAACTACTCTGCCTGCGCCTGCCCTGGTCTAGACCTCCTCCGACGGATATCGATCTCGGATCCGTTCTCCTAATATCGAGACGACAGCATCATTGTCTCTCCCTCCTTTTCTCCTTCCTTTTCTCTTCTTTTTCTTCCTCACAAACCGCGCGCATATATGTACCCGAGAGGCACGCCAAAGTGTACAGATCATATATAATAAATAATTACGTATCCTTTCTATCTAGCCCCTGTCCTCGTCCTGGGTCTCGAGCCGCCACCCAACATATACAACCGCCACCATGTTGGACACGTTCGAGATCATCACCACCTCTGGTGTGGTGCTGTGGTCCAGGACATATGCGCCCGTCAACCCATCAGTCGTCAACAACTTCATCGCGGATACTTTTATCGAGGAAATGACCGGGCCTGCGCCCACGATTCGCGACGACAACTCGGCCACTACCAACCCTGCTTACAAGAGCGACCAGCACACAGTCAAGTGGGCCACGGTCAAGAGCATGGGACTCATATTTGTGGTGCGCAACGGGAATGGGACAGTCAATGGACATATGACGAGAAAGTCTTTATACTGACACAATGGGAAATGCAGGTTGTCTACCGCTCACTGCTGCACCTCAGCTGGGTCGACAAGCTCGTCGACAACATCCGGACTATCTTTGTCAGCCTGTACGGTGACCTGTTCACTAGGCCGCATGCCACCGCCGTCGACTGCTCCAATTTCGACGACTACTTTGACCAGCAGCTCCAAGAGCTCGACAGGTCTGGCGCCTCCGCGCCCGAGATCCAGCTTCAGGGCGCAACAGCGGGCTCGACCGAGTCGATGTCGGCGCCGGGCCTGACATACCGCGGCCGATCCGACGACGCAGTCTCAGTCGACTCGACACCGGCCGACACACCGGGTACATCGCGGCCGTCGACGCCCAGCGGCAACAATATGAGCAAGGCCGGCCCGGGGGGCAAGCTATCGCGACGCGCACGCAAGGCCAAGAACAGCCCCGCGCGACCGTCGTCGGGGGACGAACAGAAGAAGGGGGCTAAAGCGCCCAAGAAGGGGCGCAAGTGGGATGCCGACGGCTTCGCAGACGAGAGCGACGACGTGCAGTTAGACTACTCGGCGCAAGGCGGTGGTGGTGATTTGGACGCCGCGGTCGACGGGACGGCAGCGCGGTCCTCGGCCGTAGACCAGGTGGACGCATCGACGTGGGGGTCCAAGACAAGTAAGGGCAAGTTTGTCCTCCGGGACCTGGGCGACGAGGTGCACGGGATCCTGGCATCGGCCGAGGCGAAGAAGGCAGCGTCGAGCGCGGAGCAGCAGCGGTCATCGGGTGGGCTGCTAGGGTCGAGCATGAGTGCGGTGGGCGGGCTATTCCGCAACGTGGTGGGCGGCAAGACGCTGACCAAAGAGGATCTGGACAAGGCGATGCGGGGCATGGAGGAGCACCTGCTACGCAAGAACGTGGCGCGCGAGGCGGCGGTGCGGCTGTGCTCGGGCGTGGAGGAGCAGCTGGTGGGCGTGCGCACAGGCAGCTTCGAGAGCATCAGTTCACGCATCCAGACGGCCATGGAGGCTTCGCTGACCAAGATGCTGACGCCGACGTCGTCGCTAGACCTCCTGCGCGAGATCGATGCCGTCACCGCGCCCCCCGCCACGTCGCTGCGACGCGCCCGTCCCTACGTCATGTCCATCGTCGGCGTCAACGGCGTGGGCAAGTCGACCAACCTGTCCAAGATATGCTACTTCCTCCTGCAGAACAAGTACCGCGTCCTCATCGCCGCCGGCGACACCTTCCGCTCCGGCGCCGTCGAGCAGCTGGCCGTCCACGTCCGCAACCTCAAGGAGCTCACGGCCCGCGAGAGCGGCGGCGAGGTCGACATCTACCAAAAGGGCTACGGAAAGGACGCTGCCGCTGTGGCAAAGGATGCCGTCGCCCACGCCGCCACCAACCACTACGACGTCGTCCTCATCGACACCGCCGGCCGTCGTCACAATGACCAGCGTCTCATGTCTTCCCTCGAAAAGTTTGCCAAGTTTGCTCAGCCCGACAAGATTCTCATGGTCGGGGAGGTACGTTTCTTTCTCTCTCTCTTTCTCTCTCTCCCGCTTTTCACGTTTCCCCTCTGCCACCCCCTGCCGGGACCTTCCTACAAAGAGCTGTCCTCGCTACGCTCGCTCTACAAACACGCAAAATGCCTTCCTATAGGATTAGTACTTGAATGCGGAAAACAAGGAAAAGGAGGGGGAAAAACCACTGACAGGCAACAGGCTCTGGTGGGAACCGACTCTGTCGCCCAAGCACGCAACTTCAACGCCGCCTTCGGGTCCGTCCGCACCCTCGACGGCTTCATCATCTCCAAGTGCGACACGGTAGGCGACATGGTGGGCACCCTCGTCTCGCTCGTCTACGCCACCAACGTCCCCGTCCTGTTCGTCGGCGTCGGTCAGCATTATTCTGACCTGCGCAACTTCTCCGTCAAGTGGGCTGTTGAGAAGCTGCTCAGCAATCATTAATCCTTTGTCCTCGGCAATCTTTTCTTTCTTACCAACTCCACCCCGGGACTCAAAACAAAAAAAAACCCCTACCTCTATCTAGATTCTTCTTCTTTTTAATCATGAATTATTAACAAACTCCCTTCATGATAAATGATATGCGATACACCACTATAATAATAATAGTATACAAGTTGAGAAGCGTAGTATGCTCATTGAAACTCGGGGCACCATCTACATTCTTGTAGCGAAAAACTTCATACACAAAAGTATAGACGTCACCATGGTAAAAAGTACAAACGTGCATGGTTTACATGAGAGCGTACTAGGGTATTGGATAATAAAACAAGTCATCCCCAACTATTTCCATTCTTTCTGGTTCTTCAACAAAACACCATCATGCTTTCAACAAAAGGAAAAAAAGAACAAAAAGTAACTTGGTATGAAGAGTATGTCTGAGTTGAGTGAATGTAAAGATAAAGAAAGAAAAAAATTATAGCGCATCAAATAAGAAAAAGAACAAGAAGAACAAAAGAAAACGTAAAAAGGAAAAAAACAAAGGAAATGACGGTGCGCCATCAATGTATACATTCTGAGTTCTTCTGCGCACCGCCGTCCTGACCCCCAGAGACAACGCATATGTGACTTGTGTTGTGAAAAAGCCCAAGACAGAAAGTAATAGACAAGTAAGAAGTCGTATAAAAGGGTTTTTTTTTTGGCTTTCGGCTTGACAATTCTAAGCCGCCTTGTAAGGAATCCGTATGCTGTCGAAGAGAAATATAGTTATGGAGAATTATAATGTTTTCGGGTCGTACTCATTCGGGGAGTAAAAGTCGCTGAAATGTAAAAATGGAATAAAAAAAGTAAAAAAAAAATGGAAGTAGAAAAGAAAAGCACAAGGAGCCCTGCCGCCATGACGCCGATTTTGTTGAAAACACACACCCACGCACGTGCAAACCTTCTTCAATGGTCGACTTTTACTCGTCCTCAAAGAAGCCGTCTTCGTCAAACTCGGCCGGCTGGGCATCCAAGTCGTAGACGGCAGGTCGCATCATGGGTGGCGTCATGGGCTCTTCCGACTCGGGGAGCTGCGGCGATGCCGGCTCTAGGGCGGCAGGTACCTTCTCGGCTGCACGGGTAGTCACCGAGTTCTGCGAGCTTCGACGGCCCTGCGCTTGGCCTTCGTTGCCGGCGCTGCTACCGTGCGACGGGTAACGCCTGCCGGTGCTTCCAAAGGCCGTGGGCTGGGGACTGCTCTCCACAAGAGGGTTCTGGCGGACTCCAGATGCAGGGGGCGTCATGAGGCCGCTCAGGGACTTGCCGTGACGAGACGACGAGGTAGCGGGCTTAGACGGCGTCGTGTTGTTCCTCGCCGCCGCCGCCGCCGCCGCCGCCGCCGGAGAGCTGAGACGGCTGCCCATGCCGGTAAAGGAGCTGGTGCTTCCCTTGCGCCAGCTTCCCCACGCAGCGCCAATGGTCTGGGCAACTCTGGGCGTCGCCGTCTGGATCGTCTGGGCAATGCTGGGCAGGTTGATAGCTGACCCGCCATTCATGGCACGCTCACGCTCCTGCTCCTCCATCTGAAGGTTGGCCTTGAGACGGATCGTGGCATCCTTGACCCTGTTGCGGTCGTACGAATCGGTGGACAGGGCGGCAATGATGTCCTGGAGGTCGCCGTGTCTCACGGCCAGGAGTTCGCGCAGCCAGCTAATCTCGTCGTCGCGCTTGGAGATCTTGTTGGGGGCATCTTGATCAACCTCGGCAGCCGCCTGCTCCAGCTCCTCGATACGCTGCTCACGGGCCTGGAGCTGCTCCTGGAGCACCATGATGGACTCCCTGAGCGCCTGGGGCGAGATCTTCTCGTGAACATCTGACCTGGTTGCGGCCACGGGGGCGGGCGCGGCCTTGGGTTGGACGACGATGGCCGGGGAGGCGGCGGTCTCGACAGCGGCCGACTTGGCCGCCGCCGCCGCCGCCGCCGCCGCAGCCTGCTTGGAGATCTCGAGCTTCTCCTCCATGAGGGCGATGCGCTCCTGGTAGTGCTCAATCTTGGATGCGGAGAAGCTGAGACGCTCGAGCAGATTCTGTTCCGTCTTCTGGGCCACCTCGACAGCAGAAGATTGCCTCTTTTCGTACTTGGCACGGATATCATCCAATTCACCCTGGTGCTTCTGGTCGAGCTCCTCCAACTCGCTGCGGTGCTTCTGGTCGAGCTCCTCCAGCTCACTTCGGTGTTTCTGGTCGAGCTCCTCCACGACGGAGGCCTTGACCGTGTCCATGTCGGACTTGAGGCTGTTCAGCTCGGCCCGGAGCTTGCCGTTCTGCTCCTCGAGCTCTTCGCGCACCATGTTGACCTGGAGCCTGGCAGAGTCAAGCTCGCCCTGGAGGGTCCTGCGGATCTTGGCGACCTCGCTGGCGGCGGCCTCGCGGTCGTCGTCGGCCTCGCGCTGGGTGGCCAGCATGCCCTCGTGGAGCTTGTGGTTCTCGGTGCGGAGCTCGCCGATCAGGCCCTCGAGGCGCTCGCACTCCTTGGTAGCCCTCATGCCGGTACGCTCGTTCATCTGGAGGCGCTCCATCTCAATCTCGAGACGCTCGCGAGTCTTGGCCTCGGCATGCAGCCTGGCATCCAGGACCTCGTGCCTGGCAATCATGGCCTGATCCTTCTTGACGCGGCGAGCATTCTCCTCGGCGATGGCGCGGGCGGCCTTGGCCATGTCATCCTGCAGAGACATGTACTTGGCACGCCAGGTCTCGCGCAGGCGCTCATTCTCCTCGAGCTGGGTGGTGAGGGTAGTGAGGGACTTGTGGAGGTGCTTGTTCTCCTCCTGACTGACTGAGAGCTCGGCGCTGTGGCGGCGGGCCGCCTCGTCGGCGCGCTCGGCCTCGTTGCGCCAGTGGTTGTTGTCCAGGCGGACAGCCCTGAGGTCGGCCTCGAGCACGTTGGCCCTGTTGGTGAGCTCTGACTGAGACTGGGTCGAATTCGTCTGCGACGCCTCGAGGAGGGCCATCTTCATGGCCGTCTTGGCATTGGCCTGCTCCATTGCCTTGATCATCTGGTCCTTCTCCTCGCACGCCTCGCGGAGGCGTGTCTCCTCCTCCGACGAGATCCTGAGCAGACGCTGCACCTCAGATAGCTTGTCCTCAGCGCGGCGGCGGGTGTCGAGCTCCTGCTCGGTCATGCCCTCCTGCTGGCGCAACTTCTCCTCCAGGTCCGTGACGCGCTGGTCGAAGACGCTCTTGTTGATGATCTCGACCTCGACGCGGGTCTCGGCGGCCTGGAGCTGGCGGTTTAGGTCGGCAAAAGTATCCTCGGCCGCCCGGCGGATCACCATCTCCTTCTCGAGCTTCTCGGTCTCCTCGAAGAGTCGGTGCTCGAGGTCCTCAACCTTGCCCTGCATGCTCTCCATCTTCATGAGAAGGTCGACGTCGGGCTGCGCGGGGGGGGGCATTCTGCTGTGGACGGCTTCCTCGATGAGGTTCTTGAGGATGTCACCCTCAAGGGCAGGCTGCTGCTTAGGCTGATTGGTCAAGAGTTCCTTGATCTCGGCAAGGCCCTTGGCGAGCGGCGACTCCACCGCCTCCTCGGTAACAGCATCACCAGCGTCCCTCTCAGCGGCATCCACAACGGCGGGCTGGGTACGGACGTGGGCAGTCAGAGCCTCCAGAACAGCAGCGCGAATCTGGTCCATCCTGCGGTCCCTGCGGGGGCTCGCCGAGCGGCGGGGAGGAAGGTCGTCGTCCTCGTCGTCGGCATCGCTCTGTCGACGATCTTCAGACACGGCGCTGAGGAAATCCCGGCGAGAAGAGGATGGACGGCCGACCCTCATAGTGATGGCATCCTGGATGGAGAAGACGGCCTGCTCAAGAGGCTCGAGGCGAGAAGCCAGTAGGCTGCCGACAACCTCGTTGACGCGGCCGTCAAAGAACTGGACCCTGTTTTCGAGCTTGTCGTGCTCAGCAGCAGGGAAAGCATTCTCCCAGTCGCTGCCGGGGCTGCGGGGCTCCTCCTCGACGTCGTCGTCGTCGTTGCGAGGCTGGTGGTAAGCCTCGCCCTCGTACTGGACGGTGGGTTCCTCCAGGTCAGGGACAGGCACCGGGGTGTTGGCTTTACCATGGAAGGCGGAAGGCTCGAGCCTCGGAGGCTCCAGCTTGAGGGTGGGCGAGTTGGCAGCACCCGCCACGGGTCCAGAAGTGGACGAGGGCTCGGTCGTCCTCCTGACGCCAAGCGTGGGGTCATTGCCGATCTCCTGCATGATGGCATCGATCTGCTCAAATGTCTGCTCACCACCCTCGTTGGGCTCTTCGACAGACGGACGGGGTGCGTCGGGGTCCGCGGGAAGGTCCATGTCGGTATCCACGACAGGGTGGATGAGCGACAAGAGAGACTCGTCGTGATCGTTGTACCCGGCCTCGTCCTGGACCTCGCCATCCCAGACCCGGACCTCATCTCCGTCAGCAGGAGGCGGCGAGGGCTCGCTTGCAAAGAGAGATGAGCCAAGTCCCTTGGGCTTGGGCGGAGGCGAGGCGAAGCGGGAGGAGCCGAGACCCAGGCCCTTGGGGTTGGAAGTCTTGGGCTTGGGCGTCGAGGCGACCGAGGTTTCCTTGGCGGTCGGGGGGGCAAACGGCTCTGCAGCAGGCGAGAACAGTGCGCTGCCACTCTTGCCGAGGCCTTCGACACCAGTCGGGACGGCCTCGCTGAACTTCTTGGCATCCAACCTGGACTCAAACTCGAAGGGCGCAAAGGTGCTGGTCTCAGCCTCGGCCGGCGACGTCTCCGAGGGTGCCGCAGTGGTAGCCTTGGTGTCCGTCTGCTCATCGGTGGCAGCTGACGACACCGAAGTGTCGGCGGCAAGAGCAGTCTCGCCCTCGCCAGGCACCTCGTCGGCGACAAGTTCGGGCTCCGCCGCAGCTGGGGACTGGGTGGCGGGAACCGCCAGGGTACCATCGTCCCCGGGGCGCTCAGCAAAGAGAGCAACGTCGTCGTCGTGGCCTTCGGGCACCTGGCTCTTAGCGCGCTTGGTGCGAGAATCATCGGCGAGAGGGCGACCGTCTGCGTCCTCGGTGACGCCGTCGGCCACGTCCTGGGCGGGCTCGGGCGACGGGTGGCTGCGTGGCCGAACAATGGGGATCGCCTTGGACTTCTTGGCCGGCTTGACAATCTCTTCTCCGGAGCTGACGCGGATGCCGCCAAAGATGCTCTCCCGGGCAATTGGCTGAGCACCGACCGCCGGCTGGCTGTTGAGGCTCTGGACGGGGGTGAAGGAGGGGGCATCGGGGCGGAACTTGGGGCCGGATGCAGAGAAGCTGAAGATGCTCTTGCTCGGGTTGAAGCCAGACCCGCTGTCCGTCTGGGGGGAGCCACCGGTGAAGGAGGCGACCGGGAACTGAGCAGGGAGGTGGATCGAGTCCTTCCCGCCACCGTGGACGGAGAGATCGGGGCTAGACTGGCCGATGCTGGACTGGAAGATGCTGGGCTGGAAGGAGGTACCCGAGAAGCTGAAGCGGCTGGGGGTGAAGGAGCTCTCGGGGTTGAACTTGAACTCGGCCGCCTTGACGTTGAGCTTAGACAGAGACGGCTTGCTACCGTGACCGGAGCGCACGTGGCCGGGTACAGAGCTCGTGGAGCTGACCCAGGGATTGCTGGTCGTCGAGGCGTTCTTGTGGTGCTGGCCAAAGGGGGTCGAGACGTCGAATTCGGGGTTGGGCGTGCCGAGCTCGCTGGGGTTCGTCTCAATCTCATGCGCCTCGCCATCACCCTTGTTCGCCTCGGGGATGCCGTTGAGAGGAGCAAAGTTCCTCATGCTGCCGCCCTGGTCGATGCCGTCCTGGAGCTGGTCCTCGCCGTTCATCATGTTGTGCGTCAACGAGTGGCCACGGCTATGGGGCCTGGGGTGGTGGAGCACCATGGGCTTTCCGGGCTCGTTGGCAAAGTGCTCAGGCACCTGCATCTTCTCCGACATCTGGCGCTGGTGCGAGCGGTCCTGGGCAATCTGGGGATTATAGTCGTCGTGCTCGAGCTGATTGCGGAACGACTCCTCGAGGTGGTACTCGCCATCCTCTTGGCTGTGGGACAGGTGGGCGGCACTGCCACGCTTAAGAGCTTCGGGCGTCTTGGAGGAGCTCCTGGAGCCGTCGTCCTCCTCGTCGTCGGTGACGTCGTCAAGCATATTGTGATGATGGGTCAGGAGGGAATGTTGCCTATGATGCTTGTCGAAGGCGGGGCTGCTGGCGGACTCGAAGCCAAAGGGCGACTGAGGGGAGAGGATGCCGTTGAGATTAGCATACGGCGAATCGGCCGTGCTGATACCCTGCATAGCCAGCCACTGAGCGGTGTGGGGGGGGAACTGGAAGGGCGAGGCGCTGGCAGGGAACGACGACGAATTCCGAGGGTTGAACTTGTCGGGTCCAAACGGCACCGGCGAGGCTCCGGCGAGTGCGATGGAGCTCTGAGAAGCAGACACGTTGAACTGCTGGTTGTAGGGGTAGCCGAAGGCGCCATGGCCGCTCGACGCCGATGAGGTTGGCAGCGGAGGCGAGAAGGGGTTCGGAGGATACTGGGCAGAAGGTTGCCTGCTCGGATCGGTGGCTGTGGGAGACGGGAGAGCCGGGGGCGCCTCCTCCACGGTGAAGACCCCAAGAGCACGCAGCTTGGCCTCCTGGAGCTCGTTGACATAGCGTTCCCACGCTACATTTGCATTGTCAGTAAGGGGCGGCAGGGTGCGTTGTCATCTTCCTCAACGTCGACTTACCATTCAAGTCAGGCAATGTGACCTGGTAGGCCTTCTCGGACCGCTCCTGCACCACATCCTCGCCGGTGGGCCAGGTCTCGCGGCTCTGGGAATCGTCTGTACCAGGGATCTGGTAGCCTTCAACGACGTGGTCGAAGCCGTCAATGTTGTAGCCAAGCTCCTCCCAGGAGTCGAACATCTTCTGGATCTCGTGCTGGCGCAGAGGCCGGGGGGGCTTCCCGGGAAGGCCACGCTCCTCGTCGCGAGGAAGCAGGACTAGGATGTTCTTGCCCTTCCAAGGGACCCTCTTCTTGAGACGCGGCGTCATGGCCGGCTCCTTGGGGAGGGGCTTGTCCACCCTCCTCAGCGGGGTGGCGGGGGGCTCGACCACGGCGGCGGGAGCGAGGGTATCCTTGGGTGGTGGAGTGATGGGGCGAGAGGCTGCTCCACTCTGGTTGGCAGTCTCTTCTGAGAGGCCGTTGGCCAGAGGCTCAGTTTCTGATGTAGTCATGCTGGCGGCTGGGTTTCTGAATCGCGGGCTTGGGCGAAGTGTCTCGAGTGTCTCGACACTAGAGGTACCACTGGGATGCTGGACTTTGTTCCTCTCAAAGGACTTGAGTCCCTTGGCAGTCTTTGGAGTGCTGGGATCGCGGTCCTCGAACCAACCGAAGTCTGAGCCGCTCAGCGAAGAGTGCTCACTACTGCTTCCGTCGCTGAACCAGTGTCGAGGTTCAACGTTGGGGTCGCCGGTGGTGTGTGTGCGGATCCAGTCCTCGGTCAAGCCAACGGTCTGACGCCTTACACGGTTAGCAAGGACGGCAGCTGCACCACTTATGGACGGGGTGTAGTCGAGGTTGGATTGGACCTCGTCAGACGCAACGACGTCGGGGGCGGGACGGAGGAAAGGGGTATCGATCTCGAGGTGGTGGATCGGAGACTCGTCCTCGTCGGCGGAAGAGTCGTCGCTGCTAGAGCTGTGTCGACGGAGATTGCGGTCGGTGCGAGGGTAAGGAGAGCCCCAGCTGGCAGTCTCAAACTGCGTGTCGTCGAAGTCGGTGGCTGTCGGTGATCGCAGAAAGTCCTGAGCGCGCTGGGGCAGTCGCGGAGCAGGCAACGGCGGGAGAGGGGGCGACGAAGCAGTATCGTCGTCGTCTCGGCCGTCGGCGGTCGAGGCGTCAGAAAGAGCAGGAGATGGCGGCGACTTGGCTTGGATGCCGAGTCGTCGAGAGTCTCCGGCGCGGTCCCGTGCAGGCGTACCTGTCGGGCTGGAAACCAAAGACCCAGTAGGCGACGTCGTTACGAGAGTCTGTATGATAGGGGAGGGGGGCCTGGTTAGTGCAAGGGGTTCATCTCAGGGACGGTCGGTATGGCAAGGTGGGTTGGATGTCATAAGATGAGGAAGGGGAGAGAGTAAAGGGAGAGACAAAAAAAGGATGCAAAGACTAACCAGATGAGATCAGTGCAGACGAGGCGATTGTCGTCTACAGCTGGATCTCCGATGAGCACTTCTCTGACCTGTAGGCCTCTTCTTTCTGGCTTGTTTGTCTCCGGACAGATTTCGGGCAGCGGCACGAGTTCGGTTGGGTGGAGGCTTATACGCGACGCGTCGAATGGCGGCTTCTGTCTTTTTTTTTTTCCTTTAATTTAACGGTTAATAAGGGGCCGTCACGCTGGTGGGTTATTATATTATATTAGCGCTTTTTTTTCCTTACCCGTGCGCTGCTGGGCTCCAGGGCCGTAAAAGGAAAAATGAATTAAACGGAATGGGGCATCAAAGAAGAAAAATATCAATGCCAGGGGCACAAGAAGAATAGAAACGAAATAAAAAAAACGCTCGAGAGGGGGAAAATAGGAAGAAGAGCGAAGAAAGAGAAAAGAAGAATGATAAGAAGATGCGACGGCTACTGGACGAAACAGAGAAGAGTATCGATTCAAGTGGGCAGATACAACAAAGATTGCCTCACAGTGCTGCTATACCGACCAGGTCGCACAACGG